CTTATCTAGCGTAACTAAATAAGTAAAAACAACAAACTACAAGTGCTCGCCAGAGTGAGAAAAAAATTAAAAACCAACCATATGTGAAATTTAAGGAAATAAAACACAAAACTACCTACTTAACTCTATCTCCCAAACTAAGCAAAATCGTAGAACATACATAAGGGTGATTTAGACCTTGATGTAAGGAATCTAAATTTTAGCTTTGAACGTCAACTCCCTGGCCACCCTGTATAATACGAGCCGCGCCGCCGCCCGCGCCCACCGGCGACACCACTGCCTCGCCGAACCTGAGGGATGCAACACTACTCAGACACGCTCTAAACATAACTACAGTAGCCTTATTCACGTAATAAAACTTCAACGACAACAAAACACTAAGGTTGCTCGTAATATAACAGGCTAGTTTCCTAAAAAATTTTTTTAGTCCGTCATGTTTAATATAAAAAAATATTGGACACATATATTTTTATTCGTCAATCTAACAAATAATTACATAGTTATGGTGCGTTGAAGTTCCGCACGACGTCACAACGTGCGGCACTTTTATGCACGCATTGACGTCACGGGCCTCTTCTTATGAACTTTGGCGCGCTTTATCTCTTTAAATTTTCATTAGTTTGAAAAAGTGAAAAATACGTGTAGAGTATTTTTTGATAAGTTAACTGACGGACTAATTAATATACTCTTGCTTTTTGACCCAGGAAACATCCCTGAGCCCCGATTACGGTAACTTTTAACGTCAACAATCCAGACACGCTTCTCGATTCTGCGATACGATTGGTCGTTCAACAGCGCACGTCAGCTGTTTTGACCAATCGTATTGCAGAATCAGAAACGCATCAGAAACGCGTCTGGATTGTAGACGTTAAAAGTTACCGTAATCGGGGCTCTGGGGTGTAAAATATTAAAACCGCAATATTTAAGTCGGCGATTATTCATACTTCAAAAAATAAACTACAAGTATCAACAACGCAATGGTTCTCCCACAACGTAAACGGACCGCTGTCCTGTCGCCACACACATCGCTAATTGTCAATCCTTTACGACAATTATTAACTAAACTGACGATAATTAGACGTAACATAATTAAAAAGTTCTACGTAAAACGCTGGGCTTGGGAAGGGTTGGCGGTTCGTGGAGACTTTGGAATTTTGTCTGGATAAAAAATGTAGATAACAACTTAAAAGGCCGCCGGTAGAGTATCTTAATAGAAATATAATTTTTTTCTACCATAAAACTAAGTTTAAATCCCGCCAAAAACATTTTTCTGTAGTCTCTCTATTTTCAGAGTGGTCAAAACTTACGCCCGTGTTCACAAACGATGCTTGCGCAAATCAAACGCTCAGCGTTGAATACCTGTGCGTCCACGCGCACTGTGAGACCTCATAGTAACGTTTGTGAATACGGGCGTATTATTTCGTTAATTTTAAGCCAATAAATAGGTCCTTGTCTGTATAACAAAAGTTGTCTACGTAGAAAGTTAAACTATTAAAAGGTATCTACAACGGAAATAAGCAGCTAACTAATTAGATTCCGCCTGCGTTACAAGTTTTACATGTTAAAAATGTTAATTTGACAACCCTATTCTAGTGAGGGGTCAGTTAACATCAAACTTACCATGTATCTAATTAGGATGTGTTGTTCACGGAGTTATTCCAATTATTTAACAAATGCTTGTCCCCGAAAGGGCACGTTAATAATTTTAAGGAAATTCAACGATATTTCTGTCTAAGTTGGGCATTCACAACATTTTTCTTGTAGTTTTGAGGGAGATGTTAATGTTTTTTGAGAATTATTTGACAGCATGATGTTAAATTAATTAAGTGAGCGGCTTTTCGAGGGCAAGCTTTGACGTGTTTTTGGGTTATAGACCGCCACAATTACAAAAGTAAGTACAAATGATTATTTAAATTATTGTTTAAGTATGTAATAAATTACTTTCTTTGTTTTTTGACTATCCAACCAGTAGTTGCTTGGATATACCTACTACATAACTAACGAGAAAGCATGAATGTAATTAACCAACTTTTTCTTAGTTCTCTTATCATATGAAAGCACCCGTATTATAATCACAAAATATCCGATGAAAGTGTTAATCAAGTAATTATTAGATTACTGACTGATTACTGCATTGAAATTTACCCGCAAAGGCCGCAAATAACTGCTTGTTTCTGATACAATCAAAAACTTTATAGGTAGTCCTACTTGTACATAAGTGGGATCTACAAGTATTAGGATGCATTGGATGGTGCTACCATGGTCCAGTGATAAAAGAGTGAGATTTTCTCGAATTTGATATTATGGGTTAGAGTGGTTAGAGTTCTTACGAAACCTACGTACGTACTTACTTAGGACCTGCTTAAGATATTTGCAAACTGAATCCACCCTTGTTCGAAAAAGAAAGACCTATTATTATGTTAGGTAAATAATATCATGGCTATAGTCTTACATAAGGCCGACACTGCCGACACGTAAAAAATTTTATAATCACCATAATTGATTAAATTAACTAAGTAAATTTAGAATATTTCTCCAATAATCGTGGAGAAATCTTCCATTAAACCAAATTTCACATTACACCAAACTGCACATGAAGATTACATGCTTGCTTATGAATATTATTGAAAATATGAAAAGTTTTCACTAGATAATTAAACATAGTATTTGCTTATAATAGCTTAGGTGTGGGTGCCTTAGCTAATTGGCACCCGATATAAATTACAGGCCATTGAGAGAAACGCGGCTCCGTTTAGTTACACAACGGCGGATCACAAGCGTACGCGAAAGCGGGAGCGGGTTCTTTTCGTAAAATATTTTCTTTGTTGATCGGTTTTTCAACTGCTGAATCTGAACCTACTTCTCGCGGAAATCAATAGAAAGGTATTTTCCAGAGTCATTTTTAGAAATTCCTGCATTAACTAGTTGTTTTGTAAAGTTTTAAGCACATAGGGGAGACCGAGGAGAGTTGTCACAAAGCCAATTTCTTTGCGCCTAACCTGTGAAAGTTATCAAGCTGACAATTTCACGCAAGCTGTGAATACAATGTCGAAAGAGCAATGAATTCGTGAAGTTGCTGGCTATGTCTTAGGTACAGAATTCTGATGTTGTTTGGATGTTTTTTCGACTGTGATATTTAAACAAATCTGCGGAATTTACTGAATGACCATGTAATAATAAAGTTACCACCTACTCGTCCAACTTACTTCTTATTATGCTTCCGCTAGCTCTTATGTTGAGTCGACGTCAAAATGTCATATCGTTTTTCCGGTGTGTAATATGAGTGAGTGGAGCGAAAACTACCTAGGAAAATAAATTTCCAATACACACCCATAAATTACGGTAAAGTATGGGACTTTAGCGTAATTTTTCTACCCGGAGTCATGTATTAATTTGACTTATTGTGCAGTCTAACATATTTTATAGTTGCTTGAGAATCTACAATTTGCATATTCTTAAGAATAAACCTTTGAGATGGAATCCACATACCTACTTTGTATAATACCCAAGCACATATCAAACAAAAACAATTTATCTCAACGATTTAGGAGTAAGCGTTTTGACCAGTACAACTGTCCATCCGGCTCGAAGGACCAGTACTTTATCCGATAAACAAACAATACCTTCAGCAACTGAAATGAAGTAATAAATTTGCGCTTACACGTTTATTTCAATCTTTGGGCGCGGGAGCCAGTTTGTCATGGGGCATTACTTCATGCCTTGTCAGCCGCGCGGGCGCGGCGCCGCGGGACGCCTTCTGCCTAGTTATTCATGTATTGAGATATTTGGTTTGCGTGTCGCGACGGACGAAGCTGGGCGCCGTAACTTCATCAGAACACGCCTTGTTTAGAATGAACACCTGTGGATTGATGCACAGATTGGGAGAGATAAGTGCCTAATTTGATGGGTTTATTTTATTGGCCTTAGGAATTTACTTATTATTACTAGCTTTCCGCCCGCGGCTTCGCCCGCGTGGAATTTTGTCTGTCACAGAAAAACTTTATCGCGCGCGTCCCTGTTTCAAAAACCGGGATAAAAACTATCCTATGTTCTTTCCCGGGACTCAAACTATCTCTATGCCAAATTTCATCAAAATCGGTTGCGAGGTTTAAGCGGGAAAGCGTAACAGACAGACAGACAGACAGACAGACAGACAGAGTTACTTTCGCATTTATAATATTAGTTGGGATGAGCAGTTATTTAATTTGAATTTAATTTCTAACAACCTATGGTCTACTTTAAATTCGAATTATTAGCCCATTTAGGAATTGAATCCACGCACGACCTTATTGTTGGTGGTAGGTACTGGTGGTACTTTTAGAGGCATTTTTTTTTCTAGTTTTGTCACTTTTCTTTTTAACCGACTTCAACAAAAGGAGGAGGTTCTCAATTCGGTTGGTTTTTACGCTCAAATTCAGTCGAAGCGGTTTTAAAGATTGAATTAAAACGAGTTTTACAGCTAAAACACCATGACCTATGTCCTATAGGGTACTGTAGGCCCTATGTGTAGGAGGATAACATCAATCGAGCTGTCACCATGAGTTACTGAATACAGAAGAGCAATATCATATCAGAACAGCAATAAAGTGCTGATACCGTGTTTTATGCGTCTCCCTAGCACTGCAAGCAAAGGTTATATTGTGTTGCAATTGGGCGCTAGATTGTATCATTGTTCTATGGAATATACATAATGTAGTTCCTCTTTGAATACATGATGATTGTCGCTTTTGACTGCGACGCCTTTTGCGATTTCAGGTTCGAATCCCGGTCTAGGCAAATGATACCTAATGTAAAGAGCATGAGCATATCTGATGAAGACGTTACCATTTAAAATGGTCCCACATAGTGACTTGTCAGAAAGTAGCCCAGACAAATTACACAGATTGTAGCACAATAACGTATTGGTATTTACTAGCTTAGGTACGCGAGTCGATTAATTAAATAACAACTTTAACCCAGTTAAATCTCAACTATTTATTAACATAATCCATTTTGTTCGCCTATAACTCTCACACACTACATTTGTACAAATAACAGTCTTAACAATAACCTAAACTACACTAAACTAAAGTGGGAACACTCGTCTTGCCCCATCTAGTCTTATCACTTCACCGTTCAGCATTGGATTCTCAATGATGCTGGTGACTAAGTGCGCAAACTCCTCCGGTTTGCCGAGCCTTGATGGAAATGGTGACATCCTTTTTAAGAACTCTAGCATTTTCTCTGGCAAGTACGAGACTAGTGGTGTGTCGAATATACCTGGAAAGAAGGATGGTGAGTCAGTGATGTGACTTTGAAAAATGAACATAGTATATCAAGGTTAGGGAGCTCACAGAACACACAGTATATCGGCGACTGCTTGCGATAGTGGTAACCGACGGTTAGCGACTTTAGGCGATTATCGGCTACAGTCTCTGACTCACGCACTGACTATACGTTAGTGACTGCCCGTCTTCGAAAGTCGCGATGCATCGGCGACTGTAAGTGACCATCGACTGTATTCACGATGCGTCAGCGAAGGTCGTCTATTGTCAACTGTCGTCAGCGACTGTCGCCTATCGTCGCCGACTTAAGTGGTAAGCAGTCGCCGATATACTATCGTTCGTCTATGAGCTCCCATACAAAGAAAAAGCTCTGATTCCATCTAATTAACAAACAGATAAATTTAATGCTTTTTTAAATTCACAAACTGAAATAAACTTACTAAACTGATATAAGCTGTATAATTAGATTTTAGTTGCCTTAAAATACAATAAAATAGTTTTTCAATTTCATTTATACTAAGTGCTCATTTAAAAAGAATTTATTGGTGCCATTAATCAATTCACACATTGCTAGGTGACAAAAAAAAACAATTATTAAAATACAAACCTGGAGCTATTGTCATAACGCGGATCCCTTTTGAAGCCAAATCTCTAGCAACTGGCAGGGTCATTCCTATAACCGCAGCAGTGCTTGCCGCATACGCTGCTTGACCGATGTCCCCTTCGTAGGCGATTGTGGACGCTGTATTAATGATGACGCCTCTCTGTCCGTTTTCATCGGGCGCATTTTGGCCAAGCAAGCCTGAGCTCAGTCTTATTGTGTTGAATGTGCCTATTATGTTGACCTACAAGAATAAGATTGTGGTAAGTTTACAAGAGACCTTCTTTTAGAAATCATCATCAGCATCATTTCAGCCACAGGACGTGACCGGATGGTAGCTGTACTGGAAAGCACGAGTGACAGATGTCCACACAACAGACTGGTCACTACCACTGGTCTTTTAGAAATAATGTCTATTAAAAGTATGATTCTTTAAAAGTACAAATTGAAATTATTGAAAATAGATTAGCAATACAGATCTTTTATTTTTAACACACTTTTGGGTAGTTATATTAACTTATAATCATCACTATTTCACTTACAATTAGTATATTTAGGTGCAGTGTAAAATGTCCAAGGATATTTATTTATTTTTAATTTAACCCTAAAGTTAACTGGAGGAGAATGCCAAATAGCATTGAGTTCACCTTTTTTTTTATGTGACAGGAGCTGACTGATCACCTGATTGTAAATGATTACCGCCTTTATTATGTACTGTGTTTTATATTATAAGTTTAAAATAAAAGCTTGTAAGTCAACTTACATCAACACATTTCCTAAAACCATCCACTCCACACTCTTGGCCTCTGTTAAAGTTGTATATCTGATGAGTCTCCGCGTGCCCCGCACAGTTGACTAGTGTGTCCAAGCGACCAAACTTATTTTTAGCTAGATCTAGAGCCTTCTTTACATCCTCTTCCGATACAACCTGAAATGTGGAGGGAAACTTTCTTAATATTTCCAGTTTCATAACAGTTTATTGTACAAAACTTTGTTAGGTAATTTGAAATAAATTTTGAATGCAATGCCACTATAATAAATTGATGTGTATTTCTCTATTGCAACCATTTACAAAAAAAGGCTACAATAAAATCAAAACTTATGTACCTACTCTGCTATGTATTGTCTTTTCTTCATTCGAAGAATATCGAAATATGTAATAAATTAACAACGTAATTAGTTTAAGCTATAAACATATTTCATAAACAAACTTAACTTACAGAACCTGGTGAAACCAAAACATTGTCACCAAGCCTTTTAGCAACTTCCTGAGCTCGTGTAGCCTGGATGTCAAGGATTACAACCTTCCCGCCATTCTTGGCGAACCTCTCCACGGTAGCCTTCCCAAGACCTGATGCACCACCGGTGACCAAACTAACCATACCCTAAAGTTAGAGGTTAGAACACATTAACACAAATAAACCAATATTCATGAGATAAAAAACACAATTATTTAACAGTAGAGTCAACGCACTTTTAACATGTTGAATTAATGTAAGTTATTAAGTTTTTTCAGGAAGTTTGTTTTTAACGCGAGTCTGAAGAAAAACCGGAAAATCCTCGAAAATTGTCTGACATTGACATTAATGACATTAACAACATCCAGCCCGCTGTCATAACAAAAACGCTTGTGTTCCAAAAGCTAACAAGTATAATTCGATGATAATTAAATTTCCATTTAAGAACATTTATTTAAAATGAAAGAAATAATATTTATTTTACTGACAACATACATGTAAATAAGCTAATTATAGTTAGTATTCAATAATTCCTGATTTTATTTAAACTTTACCTTTGAACTTGTCTGTATACTTGTTTTTATTAAAATAATTATTGAACGATATGCTTCTGTGGTAAAATACCACAGAAGCACATCGTTCAAGTTTATTGACTTTATTGTGAAGAGAAAGTACGTACTAAGTAGCAAAATAATTTAAAAAGTACTAAGTAAATAATTATAAAAAATAAACTTACATAGTTTGTCCGTAGCAGCAGAATCAGTAAAATGCGTTTAGAAATCATGGATTTTATTTACTGGTATAAATGCAATTATTAAAATATACTAAAATAAAACAACACCTTGTCAAAAATATATTTAAGTTTCATGAATTTATTAGACTAATGAATGGATTTAACTTTAACTAATATGTTAATTTCAGAACCTTAAATAACCCGACCAGTTTTAGTAGACATTGAGAGATGTTAGTACATTGCTATCCAATTCGTTTCCTCTTAAGATACTCGTAATCGGCTATCTCTTTCTTGTGGCCTATATTGACATAAGAATTATATTTTGAATTTAATACCTTTTAGTTTCAACCTGAAAGAAAAATAATCAATTTATTGTTTGGTTCCATTTTAATTATTTAGCCGGATTTCTCTGTTTTAAATTAAGATTTTGCTGCTTCTGTGTTCATAATGGCTAAAGTGGAACAACCAATATTCATATTACCAAAGAAACGGAATGGAAAAAAGCAAAATCCAGTTGCTAGCCATGTCGACCACATCATAAGTGTTCAGGTTGATTATTTTGATTTAAACCTTGCTGCTTACTGTTTATTTAAATTAAAAATAGTTGCAAATGCACCTGAATGNTGCACCGACTTAAACCTGTCTTGTATTAGATCTCTTATTGTTATTGGTTTGGTTAGTTAATAAACTCCTTTATAATGCAATTTATCTTAGGTACCGGCGCCGTGGTATACCGCGGCCGCTGTTTGTGTTTTCTACTGAATTCTGTATATGGCTAATACAAAACCCACACAAAATTTGCACGTTTTTAAATATTATTATTTTTTCCTAGGATAAGTTAAAAACATCTTCAAAATGGGTAAAGTGTTGATACTTACATAATTTTATCAAATCTTCACTTGCAGGGTGCAATTGATGCAGAAATGCCAACGAAATACAAAAACGGGCTCTCGCCAGTGACCGAACATGTTGTGAATGGCATCATCCACTCCACAATGGAAGGACTCAAATCCAACATGAAGATCAATCTCCCAATAATAAATGATGTGAATGATGAAGACTTGAATGAAATAAATTCTGATGACCCTCAGAAGGTGCAAAGCAGTCAGAATAATGGTTACCAACCACTTTCAACAGTACATTCAAGCAGGGAGATTATTGATCTTTCTCCTATTTATGAAAACTCCTCAGATGCCTGCTCCAGCCATGGAGACCTGAGAGAGGGCAATGAAAGTGACATCCAAAAGAGTTGCCGCATCTTGAACTCCGATATCAATGAAAGCTCCTCTGCTACACCAAACAGCTTATCTCAAACCCAATCAGAAAACAGCTTCGAAATGGGAACACTAACAGACAGCTTAAAAAATAGTGCTAAAAGGAAAAAGAGGGTCAATATTGTCCCTGGCATAGTGGAATCTGAGCACACAGACACTGAGATTACTGCTCTAAGAGTTGAGTCAGAAGGTTCAATTTCACCTGAGTGCTCTTTGACTGAAAACTCTAAAGATGCCTATTTGACTATGACAGGCACAATCAAGAGAGGAAAGAAGAAAGGACAGAATGTTGATGTTAAACTGAACATATCAAGAGAGGAACTGGAAATTATCGAAGCTGCAATAGTGGCAGAAGAATACAACAAGATGGATATATCAAAATGTTCTCTATACAATGGTTTACATGTATTCTTATTCAGCTTGATCTGCATACCATTTGTGACGTGCATCTCTGCAATGTATTCCTTTTATATTGGCACCATGACTTGGTATAACATATTCTCTCATGTTACTGAGAATTTCAGCTATATCAAAAAGGTGTTGCTAGCGCCTGTGGTAATATTGTCTTACCCATTTTTGATAGTGATATTTACTACTGGGTTGGGGTTGTACGCTGGGATAGTTCAGCTGACCTTCAGTGGGGCCAACTGGTGGAAGGATGTGTGTGATTTTGAGAAAGGTTTTTACGGGTGGCTTTGTAGCACTCTAGGTATGTCTGAATGTAGTCCGTATGAGGTTGTTATTCTGATGGATGTAAAACCATAGTAGAATTTTGGATTTATACCTAATTTTCGATTAAAAGGTGTAAAATTAACTTACTTATTGCTTGTAAGTTGACTGATGTATCCGCTGATATAAATTTAAGTGTAGTGTGTTTATCTAACTATTTATTAAGTGTTGTATCGAGGCAGGGATTCAGCGAAGTGTGCTCTATTCCTATGTGGGAAAAAGAGTGTAATGGAATGGGAACAAACTGTGGTTGATAAAATTGCATTTTCTGATCTCAAACATGAACTATGTTTGCTCAATTTTTTCTTCCAAATAACAGCTAAGTTTGCCACTTTTTCTAGTCATATTGAACTGATATCTTTTATCATACTCATAGTTGTATTGTAGTGTGTAAAGTTTTACATATCTGTTGTGTAAGGTCAATATTGTGTGTGTGTAATTTTTATTGGCATTGTGAAAATCAATGACCTTTGCAAATAGTTTTGAATGACACAAGTATTATGATTGTGTTTTTACATATTTTGAATCTATTTTATTTATTCAGACTGTTTTTTTATTTTATGTTTTTTAATAATTTATTTTAGAGGAATTTTACTCAGTTTTACCAAAAGACAAGATGTAGTTTTAGGATTTCTATCTATGTATATTTTACTGGAAAGTATAATTATGTATGTACATGAAAAGATTCAGAGTTTGGTATATATCAAGTTAAAGGGACTGTAATAAAATGTTAACATGTAGTAAATGCTTAACAAATTTAATGATTCCTTTGTATTGTAGTAGTCTTGCCTAAGCTTTTGAACAAGCATGCTTTCATAAATAACTACTTTTGTAGGTTTTTGTTTGCAGAAATTACATAATTATTATAATCCACATTTATATTATGAAGACTGATGTATTCTAGTCACTATTGTGGTAATCATTTTCTACGTAATAAAATATTTTACAAAACTCCTACTTGTTTTTCTAAAACAAGTCACTACCATGGAAATAAACTATCGAAATATTAAACTATGATACAGTTCGGGCATAGTGTAGCCTCACGATGTGTCCTTCGGTCGACTTTGTTCTTCTTTCGACTGTTTTTGCTTGAATTCCGCGTCTATTCTTTCTTTTGCTCTCACAATTTTTGATTGTAAATAGAATGAACCCCCTTTCGCCTTATCATTCACTGAGAACAAGTGTTCGTAATTTTTCTGAATTTTCTCTGGGTCTAGTTTATCTAAATTTAAAATTTGCATAGCTTCTTCTAGGGTGACGCCTGTGGAGGCGTTTGCTGCTGCTCTTCTAGCACCTTCGGGTCCACCACCAGCTCTCTTAGCTGCCTCCTGAGATGCTGCTATTTCTTGCTTCAACGCCCTTGCGAACGCTCGCCCGACAACTTGAGCACCCAACACTATTATTTGAGCTATATATTTAGCCATATTTGTAGGCAAAACGTCCAGACAAATAACTACGATAACATTACGACATAACAAAAATTCTTTCAAAAATATTTTTTGAGGTTATATGCGTTCCGTTACTAATATTTGACGCAAATGTCATGTGTTTAAAAAATCTAGTAGGTAATGACATACGGCAGAATAAACATATATTCCTTTGACTAATGCTTGTGAAAAAGACGCAGACGCAAAATTCGCGCGTAATTTTGACAGTTTGTGACAGCTTCAAGAAGCTAACCTGTTTGTGTTTTTGTTCTTGTTATTTTACATATTTGTTGCATAAACATAAGAAATATCGTGCCTTTTACGTTTTGTTTGATTAATTAGTTAGTTAAGCATAATCATGGTAAGTTGAAGCCCGTTTTGTATGGTTTTGAAACAGCTAATTAGACGCATAATGATTCTCCCGTTACCCCAGCGGTTAGGCGTTAACTTGTGGTTTATAAAACCTACTATTAATTTGTAATATTCTTCTGACAAAATATGCCTTCTGTGAATGCTACTAAGCGTAGTTCCATAAATCGGCTTTACTTTTGCCATTCTAGAACAAAGCAAGTTCATCAGATAACCTAACCTAATTCTCTTCAGAGTTCACCAACACCTGATACGCCGGCGTCTGATAGAGACGGAGCGCGGTCCAGGATGACGTCACCAGCCCGGGAGTACGAGATGTTTGAGGATGAGGGGGACATCCTCGGGGATAACCCTAATGAGGAGGAAGAGGATGGGGAAGAACTGTTTGGTGATAATATGGAAGCGTGAGTGAATTTACTTTTTAATATTGGCATTTTTTGTCTGGTATTATCTCATAATTAACTAGCTTTACACCTGGGGTTTTCCCGGAAATTATTCTAATTTTTCACGCCCTAAAAACCATCCTTGGACTTCAACAAACATTTTTATTATTATTCTCTTTATTAACTTTGGTTCTAAATTTTAAATATTTTTTACAATGTAAATTATCAAATTATTATTATCTATATTTTCTTCTTAAAGATTCTCGGAACTGGTTGTTCCGGTATTGCAAGAGAACCTCACGGGTTGTTAACCAAGTGATGGTCCTCTTGTAGGAATCGCCGTACAATTCGGCACGTATTGAGAATTGCAGCTTTCTGCATATTGTAAAAGGTATTAGTATCAGGGTATTGGTTCTTAAATTTGTCGAATAGCCTTTTACAATAAACAGTTCGGTCGGTCTCTAATTTAGTTATGTAGTAGTAGGTGCGCATGATAAATATGTTAACTTCATCGTTCCATCTCATGCGCACTCTTGGTTTTCCGGCTTTGGTGGTCGCAGGTTGTGATGCAAAAGTAGATGCTACCTGCGAAACAGCCTCAGTCGGATTAGCTGTATTACTAGAAGTGGGTGAATCTGGGCTATTTTCGTTTGTTTCGGCTGTAGTAAACTTGTCGGTCGGGACCCGCCTGCTCAATCCCCTACCGCCGATGGATCGCATACTGTGGCATCCAGCATCGGCTCCAGATGCGCCCCGGCGATGTGAATCCGGGCAACTTTCGTCTATTTCGGCTGTAGTAAACTTGTCGGTAGAGACCCGCCTGCTCAATCCCCTACCGCCGATGGACCGCATACTGTGGCATCCAGCATCGGCTCCAGATGCGCCCCGGCGATCGCCCCCGGGCAGCGACTCTATACTTGACAATCTTCTTGACCTTAGCTCCATTTTTAATGGGTCACCTTTACCTCGTTGGCCGCGTAAGTTTTGAAAGTACGCGTGTCCGCCCCCCACGTGGCCAGATGTTCGGCTCGGACGAAAGGTAGGATTTTGGGGGGCTTATTATTATTATTATTATAGCTTTATATTCCACATTTTTACAGTTTGATTCAATTAATCTGTATCTCTTGTTTAACAAACATTTATAACAAAGAATTGGTAAAATTGGTCAAGGCATTGTTGAGTTATGCGCTTACCAACACATTTTGCGATTCATTTTTATTTAAATTTGCTTTTTCACTGGGCTTGAAATAGAACATTTACCAAAATTACTGGATTAAATGGTTATTTATGGCCCTTTATCTTTCTGCTAAAATTCAGACCAGTAATAAAACATTGTACCTATTTAAAGTTACAGCTGTTGTTTTTAAAATTTAGCTTAAGTTTCTTGAGAAATTGAAGCAATTATTTATTATTAATCATACCTACCTTGATTTGAATAGATTGTTATTCCAAATGTATTGACATATCCAATTACTGATTCCAGTGATTACCGTCCAATGCCAGCGCTGGATCGCTACGATAATGAAGACTTGGACGAAGACGACTACGACCCTATGTCCATCGAGGACCGAGTGGCGGCCGAGCAGGAACTTCGCCGCCGGGACCGCGACGAAGGCAGGGTGCGGAGGGATGACCGTGGTTTGCTGTACGGTAAGTTGACCAAATGTCAAATTGTTAAATAAGATAGTTGAGGCCGTAGCGCTGGACTGCTACGACGACGAAGACGACTACGACCCGATGTGGCAGGGCAGGGTGCGGAGGGATGACCGTGGCTTGTTGTACGGTAAGTTGTCAAAATGTTGAAATTGTTAAAAAAGATAGTTAAGGCCGTCCAATGCCAGCGCTGCACTGCTACGACGACAAAGACGACTACGACCCGATGTCCATCGACGACCGTGGCTTACTGTACGGTAAGTTGACAAAATGTTGTAATTGTTAAATAAGATGGTTAAGGCCGTCCAATGCCAGCGCTGGACTGCTACGACGACGAAGACGACTACGACCCGATGTGGCAGGGCAGGGTGCGGAGGGACGACCGTGGTTTGCTGTACGGTAAGTTGACAAAATGTTGAAATTGTTAAATAATATAGTTAAGGCCGTCCAATGCCAGCGCTGGACTGCTACGACGACGAAGACGACTACCACCCGATGTGGCAGGGCAGGGTGCGGAGGGACGACCGTGGTTTGCTGTACGGTAAGTTGACAAAATGTTGAAATTGTTAAATAATATAGTTAAGGCCGTCCAATGCCAGCGCTGGACTGCTACGACGACGAAGACGACTACCACCCGATGTGGCAGGGCAGGGTGCGGAGGGACGACCGTGGTTTGCTGTACGGTAAGTTGACAAAATGTTGAAATTGTTAAATAATATAGTTAAGGCCGTCCAATGCCAGCGCTGGACTGCTACGACGACGAAGACGACTACCACCCGATGTGGCAGGGCAGGGTGCGGAGGGACGACCGTGGTTTGCTGTACGGTAAGTTGACAAAATGTTGAAATTGTTAAATAATATAGTTAAGGCCGTCCAATGCCAGCGCTGGACTGCTACGACGACGAAGACGACTACCACCCGATGTGGCAGGGCAGGGTGCGGAGGGACGACCGTGGTTTGCTGTACGGTAAGTTGACAAAATGTTGAAATTGTTAAATAATATAGTTAAGGCCGTCCAATGCCAGCGCTGGACTGCTACGACGACGAAGACGACTACCACCCGATGTGGCAGGGCAGGGTGCGGAGGGACGACCGTGGTTTGCTGTACGGTAAGTTGACAAAATGTTGAAATTGTTAAATAATATAGTTAAGGCCGTCCAATGCCAGCGCTGGACTGCTACAACGACTACGACCCGATGTCCATCGAGGACCGAGTACCGGCCGAGCAGGAACTTTGCCGCCGGAGCGTGATGAAGGCAGGGTGCGGAGGGACGATTTGATGGTTGAAACTTGCAGAATAGGGACATTAAAGATACTTAAAAAAAATAGTTTTAAGAATTTAAGTTCTTAAACTTACGCGTTCCATTTCAACTAAAATAGTAAGACTAGTCTGCTTGTGACCACGGCTGCAGCATCGCAGCCGAAACGTCAAGCCGTGAGTACATAATATAACTCATTATTAAACGTCGCGTTAAGACCAGTGCCTTCTTAATTGATATTATAAAAAACTAGCCTTTCAGTATAGTAACAGAAAAATATTTTATCACATTGAAAATATTGTAATTAAATCAAGCATAGTTCAGTTTATCAGCTTTCAATGTTTACATCTATTGTCCATAAATAAAACTTTGCTTAGTGGATTGATGGTGCAGTGTATCTAGACACGCGGTAGCATGTCCAGCCAAGTTCAAGTAACACGATGTCTTTATTTATTTAATCCCCAGATGATTCCGACGAAGAGGGCGGTGAAGCGCCGCGAGCTAAACGCCGCCGCGCCGCCGAGAAGGCAGCTATGGGTACGGACGAACAAGTGGAAGGGGGTATTGAGAGTATCGAGAACCTAGAGGACACTAAAGGATACACCACCAAGGAGTGGGTGTCTATGCTGGGACCGCGGACTGAGATTGCTAACAGGTAATGTTACAAACCTTTTTACTAACTACCTATTAGGGATGTTAGGGATATGTAGTTTCGGTTATGGATACGGTTACGGATATACGAATAATATTATACCGGTTATGGTTACGGATATTTTTTTATTTCGGATATCCGAAAGTTTCGGTCACGGATATCCATAACATCCCTGCTATTTATTACTAATTGTAAAAGTGCTTTTTAAAAGCCTACTTGCAAAATAAAATGAGTTTTGTAAGAGTTTTGAGTTATAGAACTCATAAGTTTTATTCACTGTGACTACTCAACCTTCACTGGTTGGGGTTCATTGGAGGTCAATCTGTAGTAGGTTCTGGCTATACAGGAGTTGCATTGATGGGAAACTAGAAAGAGTGGTGGAATAAGTAATGTAAACCTTTGATTAAGGGATCTTTCAAATTAGATGTTTTTTTTTAGATGGATGCCAGTTGTTGGTTTGAAAGAACTCTTAAGTTGTTGTGAAATAATTATGATAAGATGGTTCTACCTGTATTCTGTACCTACCAAACAGTTCTTTGTTCTCAATTCCACATTTGTAAGTAGATAAAAATAATTTAAAAATTCTGTCTACCTATCATTATAACAATTTTTTCTTATTTTTAGGTTCAAAAACTTCCTCCGCACATACACAAACAGCAAAGGCCAGTTCGTATACAAGGACCGGATCCGTCGAATGTGCGAGCACAATCAGGCGTCTTTCCACGTGGAATTCGACGTGCTCGCTCGTCGTGAGCAAGTACTCGCTTACTTCTTGCCCGAAGCGCCTTTCCAAATGCTGCAAATATTCGACGAAGTCGCCAAAGATATTGTGCTACAAATCTTCCCTAGTTACGAGAGGGTTACATCAGAAATCCACGTCCGGATATCTGATCTTCCACTGATTGAAGAACTAAGAACGTTCAGGAAGCTGCATTTGAATCAACTTGTGAGAACGGTGGGAGTGATCACAGCGACTACGGGAGTGTTACCTCAGCTTTCCGTTGTGAAGTATGACTGTAATAGATGCGGGTATATCTTGGGACCGTTTGTTCAGAGCCAGAACTCTGAAGTGAAGCCCGGGTCTTGTCCGGAGTGTCAGAGCGCTGGGCCGTTTATGGTAAGTGAATAAGATTATTTTTTATGATGTTTGATTTTTTAAGAAGCTTATAGAAAGCTTCTAATATAGCCTAAGCGCAGACCACCGACTTTTAGTTGGCCGATAGTTGGCCCCGATTTTTAAGAAGAATCGGCCGATACCACATTGTTGTAATGTGCGCACTATCATACATCTCCATACTGATTAACAGCCCGATCCAACTATCGGCTAACTTAAAGTCGGTAGTCTGCACCTAGTCTTAATGTTTTTAAAAAAATCTGGATTGTCACTAATCAAAGTCAAGTAAAAGATCACAATACATCTTTAGTCAGTCAGGTCTTTTCTGTGCCATCTGAGCCTTATTTGTGGCATCGTCCAATTAACTAACCCCTTTTCGTAATTTAACTGACTGAATCTGAAAATGGCAACTCTAAAAAGAACAGAAAGACCGAGTTAACGTCACTGTCCACATGTAATCTAAAACTGGGATCTTACTTTAACTTCAAAAATCTGTCAAACTCCATACAAAAAACACCGACTATCGTCAAAGTTAGGGTCAAAATTAGGTGGTGCAACTCGGCTTAAGTGTTACACCAAGCATATAATAAGATGTATTTCATATACATACAGTCAGCATCAAATAGTTCGTAACACCCAAAGTAGCCAAAAAGTTCGCAACATGCTTTTGTTATTATCGGATATTTTTTTTATCTACACTTGGCCTGTATCTTACCTGATGGTAAGTGACGATCAGGCCGAATAAATAAGGTTGTGTTGTCAACTTATTGGCCACTTTGAGTGTCATGAACTATTTAACGTAACTCTACAAGCAACAGCTCTTTAAATGTCTCCACCATAACTCTTCCCCAGGTGAACATGGAACAAACAGTGTACCGCAACTACCAGAAGGTCACCATCCAGGAATCCCCGGGCCGCATTCCCGCGGGACGCATTCCTCGTAGTAAAGAGTGCGTGTTACTAGCTGACCTGTGCGACCGATGCAAGCCGGGCGATGAAGTGGATCTTACTGGCATATACACGAATAACTATGATGGATCTTTGAACACGGAGCAGGTGAGAGTTTTCATTTAGCAAGAAAAAAAGAAACATTTATTGCCATGGACATCGCAATTTGACAAAAGAGGTATAAAAAAAGAAGCAAATAAGACAGAGGTGACACATAAAACAATGGAAGAGAAAGTTAACTGAGCAGTGCCACCCTGTCGCACAGCGATGTCCATCGCAATGGGACCCCACTCAGCATATGCCGTGGCCCCCGGTGAGGGAGGCCACGACGCTGGTTTTCAGTGTGCCCCATGCTGAGTGGGAGTCACGGACACTAACCTATACTGCATAAAATATACATACATAAATACATAATAATAGTGCGCCTATAATTTAAGTGTAAGTACAGTATTATAAAGAAAAGATGTGATCAGATATTATAAATAAAACTATTAGTACTATACTAACTATTTAGCCACTGTCAGCCATCTACCTGTCCTGAAGTCATCGGTCCATCGAGCTACGTTTGTCAACGTGATAGTTCTATCCATTTTGTCGCTATTGATGTAAATGCACGAGCGTCAATGCGACGATCATCACACGTTTCATCCACGAAGACGCGCCCCACCATTCTTCCGCTAATGTTTGAGTGTTATCAGTACACGCTAAATCATCCATGAGTGCACACGCACACTACAATATTGACCAAAAATTGGTGGGGCGCGTCTTCGTGGATGAAACGATCATTACTTCAAGTCCTAAGACAAATTAATGTAAACCCCTTTGCTTGCATTTGAGTCTGTGTTATTTGTCCATAAACTTACTCTATGGTGCGTTTTACGCACGTTTGTCGACGTGATAGTTTTGTCGCTATTGATGTAAATGCGCGAGCGACAATGCGACAATCGTCACACTAGAAAACTGTACTTTTTACAGAGGCTGCTTCTCAAAAAAATATTGCCAATTACATAGTAGACCTAGCTTACGATGCGAGGAAGTTAATTCACTCCTTTTCAAAATTCTGGGTAACCCATGGTCATTCCGAGAAGTCTGAGAAAATCCCAGGAAATATCTAAGCTTCTGGATAGAATTCCATAGAGAAACACAATACTAATAAATTATGTTGATACTAGTTTTGTATATTTTAGGGTTTCCCAGTATTCGCCACGGTCATCATAGCTAACTACATAGTAGTGAAAGACTGCAAGCACATAGTCGAGTCTCTAACGGACGAAGACGTGGCCAACATCATCAAGCTATCAAAAGACCCTCAGATCGGGGAGCGCATAGTGCAGAGCATAGCCCCTTCGATATACGGACACGAATATATTAAGAGGGGCTTAGCCTTGGCACTGTTTGGAGGGGAGGCAAAGAATCCAGGTATGTAATATTATATAATTCTTTCATTTCAGGTAATTTAAAGTAACAGACTTATCAACTCGGAAAGGGATTAACACCGTATCGTCTTTCGCGAGCTGTTATCGCCTTTCGCACGCTGTCAACCGCTACGGTGCGTTGCAGTATGGAGTTTCATACAAATAATACTGACTGCCTCGAGTTGATACGGTTACGATCCCTTTCCGGGCTGATAAGTGCGCTACGTCCTTTATTCTCCACTGCAAAAGCATATAACCCACTTCGACTTACCTGTATTTTTTTTCTTTCAGGTGAAAAACATAAAGTGAGAGGTGATATTAATGTGCTTATCTGTGGTGATCCTGGTACAGCTAAATCACAATTTTTGAAGTACACAGAAAAGGTAATAATTCGTTCATACAGTTCATACATTTTTATTTAGTTCTTTTGTTGGAATTTCAGTCTTGTCTGAATATTTGACTGATGCAGTGTCTTTTAGCAACAATATAATTTAATCTTTGCTCCGGTACTATGGTATTGTAGGATAAGATCCATGATTTGATGCATTCTTTACAGATAGCACCTAGAGCCGTATTCACAACTGGCCAAGGCGCCAGTGCCGTTGGTTTGACAGCTTACGTCAGAAAGAACCCAACCACCAGGTACTTACAATTTTACCCTAGATACGCCAATGATCCCACACTAAGGTTTTATGTACAGCAAGTAAACTTCCTATAAAATGTCGAATTTCTCCAATAGATTTAAACTTTCCCGTAAGGCCCGGTTTCCACCAAAGCGGAGTGCAGAAGTGTTTTGAATAATCAATCAGATTTCATTATATCTACATCTCCGCTCCGCACCCTGTCAAATTCTATAGAAAAACGAGTCCGCCCGACACATCTCTCTTCTCCGCTCCGCTTTGTAGAAACCGGGCCTTAGGTTCAAACATTTCAACAGACAAATATGACACCATTCCCCAATAATTCGATATCACAACTTTTCTAAACAAACACTTCATTCTGGTCTTAAAAACTTAATTAATTTTAAATTACCTGTAAATTACGATTTTTGGTCGCATTGTAATTGTAAAAAGTATAGCCTGACCAGGAACATAAAAACCCTGGCATAGAGGCGCTTCAATTGCATTTGATAGTGCAACACTGAGTACAGTCGTACCTGTGTTAAATTAATAGGCTAACTTTATGTATCAGGATTCAGGATTACGGGCTAATTTGATATTTTCATAAATTAACGAAAAAATATTATTGTAGGTAACCTGATTTAAATAAATTAAATGAAACCATCAATCGAGCTAGTAGATTTATTTTATTATTCATCAATAATCAAATTCAGAACTTGAATATTCAACTGCAATGTCTGCTCATGAACGCTTCAAACTCGGTACTTCTTTCCCAATCCCATAAAATTCAACACTTAGAAAGTGACAAATTTTTTAAAATAGGTAGTTGAAACAAACCACAGCTAATTTTCATAGTGGACTGTACTATACGATAAACATGTCAGTCAATTTGACAACCTTTGTCGGAAACATTATTCAATGAAAATATTGTCCGAACCCTTAGTATTTCTCTTCGACAAATACTTTAACACATTGTGAACCACTTTTCTTTCACGACTATAAAAATATTTTAGCAATTTAATTCATAAAACCAATTGCGCACATTTAAAATAAAGTTTGTTTACACTTTGACAGCAATAGACTGACATGCAAGGTGACATGTCAATGAAGTTTTCAGTTACTGTTGCCATTAAAAGAAATTAGTACCATTAGTTTTCCGCAACATGGCGAGGGTTTTTATGTTCCTGGTCAGGCTATAGTTTAATTGAGTTGACAAAATAGTGACGTCACTTGCTTGTAGTGCCATACAAAATCTATGGGAGAGTTTCGTTTTGACAGTTTAAAAAAGTACGTCAATTGATTGGTGGTGTCAACATGTCTATTGAGGAAAATTGTCGCTTTCATTTCGTATACAACCTATCATCGAAGTGTTGACTTGCTCCTTGTTTTCACAGAGAGTGGACATTAGAAGCGGGCGCTTTAGTGTTAGCGGACCGCGGCGTGTGTCTCATCGACGAGTTCGACAAGATGAACGATCAAGACCGCACCTCCATCCACGAGGCCATGGAGCAGCAGTCCATATCCATATCTAAAGCCGGCATCGTCACGTCGCTGCACGCCAGGTAAACTCCTTTAAATACAGCCTAAACCGTCATAAAAGTCATTTATTTCCTACAAGTAGGCCTTCAAATCGCTGGGCCGCTGGAGCAGAAAAGTTCTCAAGTGGCGACCACGAGCCGAAAGACGTAATTTGGGCAGGCCTCCCACTAGGTGGACCGACGATCTGGTGAAGGTCGCGGGAGGTGCTTGGATGCGGGCGGCGCAGGACCGGTCTTTGTGAAAATCCTTGGGGGAGGCCTTTGTCCAGCGGTGGACGGCTTTCGGCTGAAACGACGAGGCCTTCAAAAACACTTACATATCCCAGTATTACTTTTTTTTTATGTGATAGGAGGCAAACGAGCAGACGGATCACCTGATGGTAAGTGATTACCGTCGCCCATAGACACCCGCAGACCCAGGGGCGTTACAGGTGCGTTGCCGGCCTTTAAGATAAAGATACGCTCTCCTCTTGAAAGCTTGCAGGCCTCTTTAACCGTTCCACTGCTTCGGGACAGTAAATGCGCCAGTGTTAGGAGAAGCAGCGCAAGACACCCAACTCAAACACTGTGATCTAGTGGTAAGACCCTTACCTGCTTCAGACTCAGATGTCCCGAGTTGGATTCCTAGTGGGGGCAACGTTTACTGCTTAATTTGGTTGCTGATAGGGCTTGTTCTGAGTCCGCCTAGCTAGCTACCACCATCTTACCTAAGTCTGTCGTCATAACAACAATGTTAACAGCATCTTTGTGTTCTAGCAGTTGGATGTGAGATAGCCAGTTCCTTCTACTCCATCATAATCATATCATAACTTACTAATGTTAAAAACGATGGAGTGGACTGTATGTAGAGATAGGCCTGCCGGTGGTGATATTATGCTAGAAGCAAGGAAACACTCCAAAATAGGGCCAAAAAGGTATATTGCTCAAGACATTAACACTAGAACACCAGAGAGTAGTAAAAGCAACTTCAAAATCTAAAACAATATTAAAAAAAAGTAAAAAAAAAACAAACAATTTATCAAAAGAGGATTGCTGGCCAAACTGCCAGCAACATTTCGACTGTTTTTATAGTTTAGAAGAATATTTTAATCATTGTTGAAATTCTAAAATATGGACAACCCACTTAAGTAACATTGTAAATTATATTATTCTCTTTACCTACCTATATTGTACGACCGAAATGGGCAAACTGTCGGTTCCTGTGTTATTTAACATCCATTTAACAACAATGTATGCACAGTTTTGACAATAAATGACTATCTATCTATCTGTCTATCTACTGCTGAGATAGGTAATTATTTCTCAAATAAACTAATATCAGAATTTAATTTCAGATGCTCTATAATAGCAGCCGCCAATCCGATCGGCGGGCGATACGACGCGTCGCTCACGTTCACAGAAAACGTGAACCTCTCCGAACCGATTCTGTCCAGATTCGACGTCCTCTGCGTGGTTAGAGACGAGGCCGATCCTATGCAAGACGCGCATTTGGCTAAGTAAGTTTATATACAAGACATAATTTTATTTCCAGAATGTTTTTTGTACAAACATTTACACACAACATTTACAGGAGTAATTTTTTCTTGTTTTATTGTGACTTTACTGCTTGTTGTGCCGTCTCTGCTATGGCCAAATCGTTACTATAATGCATTAAAAGAATATTTTTAACATGTTAAATTTGATTTTGATATTGATTGGTTAGCGTTAAAAAGTAGCCAAAAAGTTCGCAACACGCCTTTGTTTCTATTAGAATAAGGTTGCGTTGTCCATTTTGAGTGTCACGAACACGCTGATTGTATAAGTGTGCCATATAAATATTGATGAGGTTATATGATGGTAAATACCTATGATACCTTTACTTGTTGAAAACACATTGTCTCGCTTCTCCTTTATTTACTTAAGAATAGCTTCCAGTTATAGATCGTTTCATCCACGAAGACGCGCCCCACTAATTTTTGGTCTCGGTCGCGCGGGGTGCGGGGAGTTTGATCCGAGCAAGCCGAGCGGCATTATTGTAGAGTGCGTGTGCACTCATGGATAATTTAGCGTGTACCGATAACACTCAAACCACAAAATATAACAGAAGACAAACTCCATACTAAACGCGCTCGAGCCACGCACACATAGACACCGNTATGAACCAAATAGTATGAATTCATGGATAAAATAAATATTTTTTTCCGATGCGCAATAAAATTCGCCCGCTGTGTCCTGAAGAAAAAATTTTTTTCACCTGCTTTTTGCGAAAAAAGTACCATACAATGTTATATTTTTATAATCCTGATAAATGTAGCTTTCAGGTCATATTTTTTTATTAGATTATCTCCAGCGGTTTAAAAGTAGACGACGTTTATTTAAAAAAATACTTTTTGGTTTTTGTGAATTTTACTCAATATTTCAATTTTTTTGTATGAAAAGGCAAAAAGTTTGTTCTAGAAATGAATTCGCCATCCTTTAATTATCCGAAAATGATACCACATTTGCCATAATACTCATAGTTTTGAAGATATGGGTCTTAAAGTGAAGCGCGGTTGAAGGAAACTTGCCCCCCCTCCCCCTGCTACCACAGGGGGGGCTCCCGATGTCTACCGACGGAAATCCACTCAGGAGCACCTAAAGAACCACTGTTGTAAAAATGAGCCTTCTATACCAAAGTGGAGGGGTTCTTGCACTAAATTCCCTACTAATACTCAAAACAATATCTGAGCAGTTCTCAATTTTTAAGCACCTCTCAAATTAAGTTGCACTCAAACGCCACTTATAGATGATCCACGCTGAACTGTCCCGCCAAACTCAATGACAGGGGGGCGCTACCATCGTTCAACTATATGGTTTCCAACATGGCAAAAATCTGAACCAGCGATCCGGTATTGACGGTGGCGCCCCACTGTCAATGTCATCGACAGGACAGTCCAGTATTTTGGAACTATATATGAATTTTCGCATACTGAAACGTCATTCAACGCTAAGCATTACTCAAACAACTGTCAAATCGTCTTAAGCAGCTGTTATATTTGAGAGTGCTTGCGCGGTATCTTAAATCCTATTCTTATACCTAACGGCCGAATACTGAAACACTACTCAAATCTGTCACTCAGCTGACGGGCTCCTAAATTTAAGTATCCTTCAATTTTAAATGGTATAGCCTGACCAGGAACATAAAAACCCTCGCCATATTGCGGAAAACTAATGGTACTAATTTCTTTTAATGGCAACAGTAACTAAAAACTTCATTGATATGTCACCTTGCATGTCAGTCTATTGTTGTCAAAGTGTAAACAAACTTTATTTTAAATGTGCGCAATTGATTTTGTGAATGAAATTGCTAAAATCTTTTTATAGTCGTGNGGCTTCAAATCCGTTGAGTAGCGTTTGAGAATACCATTTAAAATTGAAGGATACTTAAATTTAGGAGCCCGTCAGCTGAGTGACAGATTTGAGTAGTGTTTCAGTATTCGGCCGTAAGCAGCTCTCAAATGTTTACATAATGGCAACATTTACCAAAAAAAGTATGTTTTCATTTACACAAATGATAACTTTACGTCTTTTATCCATTACACGCAGCATCGTTTGGTTATGTATTGTCTTTTATGGAAATATACTCAATCAACTTAACATAGAACAGTTTATTTTTAGTTTCTATTATATATAAATTTCGTTTTATCATATAAAAATAATAATGCTTGCATTTTTATTTAATTAAAATAATGGTATAGATGACCCACGCTGAACTGTCCCACCAAACTCAATGACAGGGGGGCGCTACCATCGTTCATCTATATGGTTTCCAACATGGCAAAAATCGGAACCAGCGATCCGGTATTGACGGTGGCGCCCCACTGTCAATGTCATCGATAGGACAGTCCAGTATTTTGGAACTATAATGGAGAGTTGTTGATTTGTCAATTTGATGCTCTGTCAGTCAACAATGATAAATGTCAATTGTGGTTACGTTTCGGTCCACGATCGCCACTTAATAGATTTCAACAATAAAAAGTATCACCTTTAAAATANATAGTGTCAACCACTCAACTAAATACTACTTCCTTCTCGTGTATTTGTTTGCAAACTATTACTATAATAACGTACTAAATATAAATAAGTATACGTGGTTAAGCCGTGTGGTGACGGCAGAGTAGAATACATTTGTCACCAACCCCTACTCTTCCCGCGGGTGTCGTAAGAAGCGACTTAGGGACTACACATCAAACAGAGAATGGGCAGCAGCGCTCTCTGAAAAACATCAATCTTTTAAACTGCGATCTCCAACCCGCCTGCCAAGCGTGGAGATTATGGCAAAACCCTCCACTATAGTAGAGGAGGCTCATAGTCCGGCAGTGGACTGTAAAGGGCTGTTGATGATGATACGTGGTTATCTGTTATTGTCTTTCTTGCATAGTATTAAGAGTAACATTTTTCTATCATAACGAAATAAACACAACACATGACAAGACAACCCTAGCGCGACGGCCGAGCGTGCGAGCGAGAGAGGTATGCAAAGCGAGGTACATACATGAGTTTACCTTCTGTTATATTTTGTGCTCAAACATTCGCGGAGGAAACGATCTATACAAGGACTTTTCCATTTGTGTTACTAAATAAATACTCAAATGAAATCATTCTATGTAGTACAACAGTGCCGAAATATCGGAAACTCAAAATTAAGGTACATGGTAGCAATCCCGTCAATAATAACAATAATAGTAATTGTAATAGTGACCATGAAAGTTTAAAACAATATATTCTTGTACAGATTCGTAGTCAGCTCTCACATACGCCACCACCCGACGCAGCAAGGCACCGTGCTAGAAGACACCAACGGCCCCGACCCAGAGTTCACGCTGCAACAGGACTTGCTCAAGAAATACATCGTGTATTCTAGAGAGAATGTCCACCCTAAGTTACAGGTTTGTGGTGCCACTCAGCTGTAAAGCCTGGTCCGTGAGCACGTAGAATTTTGTCCAATGACCCCAAGCTACCCATCCTTATCGCTCGCGCGTAATTATGTTGCTGTCGCGATCGCACACTCACTGCGGGCGCCCGTCGCACAGTGTCTTTATTAATAATTAATTATCCTATCTCTGTTGCCATTTATAAAGACTTCAAAATGGAGGAGGTTCTATTGTTGTAACATATTTTATCTATAAGACATAGGAACTGCTGAACACAGGCTTCCCTCCAAAGACCTTCACTGGTTGGGTTTTTATTGGCGGTCAAGCTGTAGATACTGGCTACACAGGAGTTGTAGCGGTGGGAAGAGTCCCGTAGGCTTCCCTCCCCCAATGATTTCCATAATTACCGGTTGGTAGCAGCCTGCATTCAGCACATTCCTGATACCTTTATAAGCTACATATTTTTCTTTTATCTTTACTAATTAATAACTTGTTTGTTTTCGCAGAACATGGACCAAGACAAAGTGGCTAAAATGTACAGTCAGCTTCGACAAGAGTCGTTAGCTACGGGAAGTCTGCCCATCACTGTGCGACACATCGAGTCAGGTTAGTAAATAAATAATAAAATCTACATGTAAACATAGATCGCGCTATGAGAGTTGAGGCTATGAACTCCAACAAAAATTTGTATCTGTATAATGCTGATGTCTTACGTAGTCGGACTGACAAGTGCTTTCTGTCTCGCTTGCAGAGATTTAACAAGAGTGAGGTAGCTAGTGTGTTCGACATTTGAACTTGTATAATGTGTTGTTTGTGTATCATGTTCAAATACAACATCAGTGTGAGTTTGTGTTCGCCTCAACTTTTGTTGAGCGACCTATACAAGGTTCAAAAACAGCTCGTCTTGTAAAGCGAAGTTTAGACCAGCAATAAAATTGGCAGAAGTTGATTTCCGCAAGCTGTCAGCACTGTGTAAATCTTGCAGAAGTTGGCTTGCCACAGCTATTTACACCGTGGGAAAAAGAACTTTTATTACAAAAGCCTGGTCCGTAAGCACGTAGAATTTTGTCTAATGACCCCAAGCTACCCATCCTAATCGCTCGCGCGTAATTATGGTGCTGTCGCGCTCGCACACTCACTTCGGGCGCCCGTCGCACAGTCGCGACAGCAATACGTTAGTCTAGTCGTCACATAAGGCGAAAATGAGCTCTAATATTGCACAAATTTAAAAAAAAAACCTATTTTTTTGTCCCCAGTTATCCGCATGAGCGAAGCTCACGCCCGCATGCACCTACGAGCGCAAGTGTCAGAGCAGGACGTCAACATGGCCATCCGCACCATGCTAGAAAGCTTCGTGGAAACGCAGAAGTACAGCGTCATGCGTGCCATGAGACAGGTATAGCGCTGCAGTATACTGTACAAGGACAGGAAATTCCTGTCCTTAGTTATGCCAGGCCTGTTCATCTCCGCGAGTTTACATCGAAAACAAAACACGCACGATTGCCCCCTACAAGAGTACTATTCGACAAGGCCTCACATACGAGCGAACATTGACTCACGCACTCGTATTCTTGTGTATGATGGAAAAAAATAAAGAAAATGGTGTACTAAATACTGTGCAGTATTAAACTGCCTAAATAATAATAAAAACACAGAATGTACTTTTTTAAGTTGCCTCAAGACACTGAGAGGTAAATAAGTAGTTAATATTATTCATGATAATTCATGCTAAATCATGTATTTCCTCCGCCATTTTCTGCAGATTGGCACCTCACGTCACATCATTTTACCGAAGTCAGCCCTATAGCTTCGGTGCAGTACCGATCACTGACGTTTGTCAACAAAACTTCTGACAAACTTGCTTGACTCTTGAGACAAGCTAAATTACACCATATTGTTAATGACATTGAGCATACATTTTTTTAAATACCTTCGCGAAGTAAAACTTCTGTACGTAGTACTTATTATTATTCTGTGGTTATGCTCCTACATAGAGATCTTACAATCCGGGCGAGTTAACTGCGCATCTAACTATTGAAATATGGGCGTAAATAAAATATATTTCTTCCATTTTAAACTGAATTATATTTCATCAAATAAAACACCAGAAGCTGGGCCCATAACCTATTGAAATATGGGCGTAAATAAAATATATTTCTTCCATTTTAAACTGAATTATATTTCATCAAATAAAACACCAGAAGCTATTACGCCCGTCTATAGAATCAGTTGACAATAAGATGACGGTCATCAAAACATAAAGAAGAAAAGTATGCTCTATGGAAGCTATCCACGGAGTTCCGTATAAACAGTAAATTAATTTTTGCACTTCAAATCAATTACATTCAACACTAACAGCCGTGACGTCACATCGACTCTGGTACGGACGTGGCAAATGCGGGGAGTAGTGCGGGCTAGTGCGAGGGATAATCGCATTCCAGCATGGTGCGCATTTAGCTCGATCGGAAATTCGGGGTGTACACATTGTTCGCCAAAGCGTAGTCTGCCTTCGAATGTCCAAATACGTCTAAAATGGGCAGTGTCTTGGGACTTTGGAGGAGTTCGAAATTAATACACTATGGCTGTGCCTCGCATTCGTTTGATAACGTAATGAAACAAGCCACCAAACGCTCTCTGGGTTCGGTGCTCAGTCCATTCCGAACGCCGTTATATCTCACAGAATCATGTGATATTAAAAACTATACAATACAAATACAAAATTGTTTATTCAGTATCCTACCTCAGGTGTACATTTATAACAGGGTTTCAATTGGGGTTTTCTTTTAAGTAAAAACAATAACCTAACCATTATTTTCCAGACATTCCAAAAATACCTGGCCTACAAAAAAGACCACAGCGAGCTCCTATATTACATCCTACGTCAGCTCACAATGGATCAACTGGCCTACATGCGTGGTCTACACAACCATTCCCAGTCTACCATCGAGATATCCGAGCGAGACTTGGTTGAGAGGGCCAGACAAATCAATATCACAGATCTGAAACCATTCTACGATAGCAGGATATTCAAAATCAACGGTTTCTCGTATGACCAGAAGAGGAAAGTCATCGTTCATACGCTACCTGAAACACCAACCGAAACTAACTGATAGTGTATGCAAGTTGTAATTTTTGTTTAGTTCATAGGTATATTGTTAAATAGGTACGTATGTGCCCTATGTATCATGCCTATGCATATATGTCTCTGTATGTTTAAGAGAAAATATTTTTGTAAGAGATTATCTTTTAAAACAGTACAAAGAATATTTTTATAAGTTTTTGTGAGTGAGAACTTTTCTGTAAACATGAAGAAAGCCTAATCTCATTGTTTTATTATTTCGTTAAAAAAAATCCCTTTTTTGTTAATGTATTATGTCTACCTACACCTTTTGATTGAATTGACTAAACATGAAAAATTTAAATGAAGAATGTTTTTCTTATTTACATTTAGGAGCAGGTATTCCCAAAATATGTAAATTAAAGTAAATAGTAAAATGATCACGGTTATGTAATGCCTTATGTACCTTAAATTGCCAGTTTAATTACATTATTGTTTCTGTATAATAAAATAGTTAAGACCCACCTTTTAGTTTTATATAAGGATAATCTTAGGTAAGGATTTTTTGTTGAAGCTATTCAGCAAATACATATAATAATACCCTTTACTGATAAACCATGGCAGATGTAAAATAAGTGTTAAAGAAAATTGTCTTTGAAAATGCTAAATGCTCACTCCTACTATTCCAAACAAAACCAATATTTTGTACTACCCGTTTGCGCTAAGTTTGCCGGTCCGTGGAAAGCGCGTCCCTTCCCCCAACCGAGATTAAAAGCAATTAGTTAGTGATTAAACGCAATTGTCTTGTTTTACGCAATTACACATTTTTTATCAATATTAATAAATAAAAAATATTTTCAATAGTTTGCTATAGTTATAGACGCTTTCCTTCGAGTGACGTCATATCGTCAGCGGCAAACTTATCGCGAACGGATAGTAGGAAACATACTTTGACAAATGTTTTCAGCCTACGACTTCAAACCTACATAACTGAAGAATGTTTTATGTGTGTAAATGCATTACGGCCGAATACTGAAACGCCATTTAAATATTTGACGGCTTCTCAAATAGTTAAGCAGCTCCTAAACTTACATTTCGCATACTCAAAACATTATCTGAGCAGTTCTCAATTTTTAAGCACCTCTCAAATTAAGTTGCACTCAAACGCCACTTAAATGAATTTTCGCATACTGANGCCGCTAATTAGATAATTAAGTAATAATTAATCTGTTTATTAATGTAATATGTTTAGTTATTAATAAAATGATGTTGATTGCGTTATATTAAATCAAACACAGGTTAAGTTTCCATCAAAATTGTATTCATTTTTTATCAAAATTCATGTAATGACATTTTTCTAATAAATGATTTTAAGAGAATCTAAATACATAGTTTAATTGCAAAGAGTTCCTTTTTTTCTCTTATACAGTCTTATTATAAAATATTATTTTGCATTACATAAAACTATAAACTAAGACGTTCTAGTACATGTCTACGACACTAACCTATTTGAATCAGCAAGTTTTTTTACAAAGCATAAAACAACAGTACACTAACATTTAATGTCAATAATATTGTGTTATAAAACTCATTAAATTCACTCGAATATTAAGTCATTTATTGAAATTGAATATCCTATACATACATTCTAAAATAAAAATACATACCCTAAAGTTACACATACCATCTTACCAATAAACAACTTATAGTAAAGTTTTAACAATTTTACAGTTAACTAAAATCATATCAAGTTCACAAATACATTGTTTATTAGCAATCAGGTAACAAAATACAATCACATACAAAATTACAATGATATAATAATTGCCACCAGGTTTAAAAGGTTATCATGAATGAACGAACAATGTCCAAGCAACAAAGTTATAATAAATTAAAAGTACCCACATTTTTATCTTGAATGTTGAAACGCAATAATGTCTCGAGCTAATAAAAAAAATTAATAATGCATGTCAGCCTCAAATGTCCAGCATTTAGTCAAACCTGTGAGCAATCAAATAAAAAAATAATCCATTTGTGTTTAGCATAGGACAGCAAGATATTTAGATGCACAGAATTACTAAGACTACACTGGATTTTCAGATTCTTATATAAGTTCACCTAAATACTGATAAATAGGATTACCAACTTTTACAACACTACCTCTCAGGAGTTTGAAAAAATTTATATTTTAAACAATCAATTAGAAGACTAGACGAAACAGTTAGTCGGTTGGTAAGCCTACTTATAACAAGTGCATAGTAATCCTTACATAAATGTGACTGTTTAACAGTCGCTACATGAGCCAGAGTCGCTGCTGCCCTCGCTGTCGCTCTCGGAATCGCTGCTGCTGCTGCTGGAAGAATCCGAACTGTCCGATGATGACTCTGACGAACTGTCGGATGAGGAGCCATTGTCGGAGCAGTCTGAACAGTCTGATTCCTCACGTTTCTTCTTTTTAGGGATTTTGCAGGCTCCATTGCTGTTATGCAGAAAGAAATCATGAATATCAAGAAGATAACTAGCTAAACTTTCACGAAATTTAGATGTTAATATTTCAAGCTATGGCAAAATTACCCACATTTCATACAATATGATGATGATGCTGAATGCAATTATTTTTCAAGAGCAAAAACTAAGATGAAACGATTTGCTTTGCTTGCATTTTTAAAAGCAAAGGAAGCTTAAAACACCTTTGTATTCAAATAAACTTGGGATGGGTCACCGAAAAGAAATAATAAGAGGGTAGTTTATCTAGTCATAATAAGCAAGTAGAAAGAATCAACCAATCAATCAAGAAGAAAAAATCAATAAGATAAAAATAAAAGTAAGGTTATTATTAATTTTTATGTGTAGGTAGTTTGACCTTCAAAGAAATGGAAAAAAAGATGGAAGATTTTACCTGCACTGGCCTTCATCCTTGCCCTTCAAATTCTTCTTCATGACTTGTGTGCGAGACGGCCGCACCAGAATTTTGCGTTTCCCTTTACATTCGTAGCTCCAGTGCCCATATTGAAGGCACTTTTGGCATCTGATGCCTTGAGGAAATGCCGCCGCTAGTGCAGCTTGCCTGTAAAAAACAATAAAAATCAGTGAATTACGACGTAAACAAAATGAAATACTGCCAGACTTCCACCAAAGCAACCTACTTCTTCCTCATAGCCTGATGCCTGTTGTAAGTTCCCAGAGTCATGCTGATTTCCAAGTAGAGAGCTCGGGTTGAAGTCAATCAAATCTTGAGGGTAGTTAAGAACTCGTGGCAATGGGTTCGTAAACACAACTTGCTTGAATTGCTCTTGAAATGCAAATGATTATTTGATTTCGTCGCAAAAAGCAAAATCGCAATCTCCATCCAAACACAAATTGACAGCTGAAGAAAATGTTGCCAGGAAAATGTTTCCTTTTTGGATGTCAAGTTCATTCGATTCATTAATCGATAACCGACTGTAAGGCGAACGCACATGAAATTCAAAGTATTCACCCCGCCCGGTGCGAAACTTCGGTTGTCGATGACCAACGAACGTAAATTAAGAACAAAACGCTATTTTGACATTGACAGAACTGACGTGGACTAATTTCAGTGGAGCTATCATCTGTGGAGCCAGTGGCTGCGTTATTTTGATCTTCGTAATTTTTTTCAAAAGTTTCGTAAGAAATAAACACCGGAGCCCGGGGTATAGCTGGAGATGTCCGGACAATATTTTGCAATAATACAATGTCGGACTGGTATTGGAAGGTCGTAGCTTTAAAAGCGGCTTTCGTGTTAACTTGTTTTGTTTCTTATCTGCGTGCCGATGATAATATACAGAAGTTACCGTTTTGTAATCCTCACAATAATGCGAACGGCGGACCAGTCAACCACGAGTGAGTTTCGATTGCCTTCCTTTTAACCATGTTTGTTAACCGGCAAGTATTATAGGCAAGAGTCTTGAAGACAGGTTTTAAACTGGCTTCTTAAAAATAATGTTGTTTGCTTAATTACGTCTATTATTTGTCTACAGAGCCTATTTTGCTAGTGAAAGAGTGTTGGTTCAGTTTAGAAGGCATATTTACAAACTTTCAGCAGATTGGATGACTCATCCAAGGACAAGTTGTGACATGAAAGTGCACAAGAAAAAAAACAACTTGATTTATGTAACCATGTATTAATAAACGAACAAATGATTGATAATAACAGCATTGTTGATAATAATAATATCTGTAAATTAATGTTGTTTACATAATGAACTCAAAATGTTAAAAAGATGAATGATAAGGAATAAGTTAACATAAGTTACATACAATGCCATTAATCTTTGGTTAATTGACTGTCAATGCCAGATTTAACAATTGGGAAATGTAATCTAAAACACAAATTAAACATTGTGGATTTAATTTAATAATTACTAAAAATATCATTGCCAATATTCCTCATGTTCAAAAACCATGTCCTTGAAAAAAAAAATGCTTCTGACCCCTATTGTTTGTGGTTAAACTAACGTTTTAAATAAATGCATCACATATTTTGTATCCTGCTGCTTTGGTAGTTTATGACCCTTCAGTTTGAACATCTTAATTAAAAAACTGGCAGTAAAATAGTTAAGTTGGTTCATACAAAGTATTACCTATGAGTACAAAATCTACAAATTTTCTATGGAAGCTGAAATATCATGTATTGTTACCAAAATTGTAATTAATTTACTATAAACTTTCACCTCATATGAAAAAGTATTTTACACATTTTATTTATTTATTTTACATGTGAATGTGTATGTTTGTTACAGTTTGGTGCTAGTTAGTACCTTAGATGGTAAGCTAACAGCATTCTCAACTGACAATGGCATTAAAGCATGGGACCTAGAAACACAACCATTACTGTCATCCAATTTACATCATGTCGAGGTAAAATATTGCTACTTTCATTTTTATTATATTCATTTGGATCAAATATGATTTTTAGATACTACAGATTGAAAGCCAACTTATTTTTCTTATTATGTTCTCTCTCCAAAATACATTCATCTGTAAATTTCGCACTTCTAATAACTCTGTGCCTCTTCAAGGTGAGAGTGAAAAGGCAAATAGGACAGTACCCCCTAGATTTAACATCTTGTGCTTTAAAAAGTAAATAAATCAAATTTTCATTGAACATCTTTTTACATTGATCATCCCTTTCAAAACATAAGGTATCAGTTGCATGATTTAAAATGAAGCAAATCATGATTTTTATTATTTTTTTTTGCAACAATACATTTATAACAACCATATTATTTTAGCTCACAGCAGGCGGTAAATGGGTGCGTCTGGTGCCCTCTCTCCGCGGAACACTGTACAGCCTCAGCGGAGAAACCATTGAACCGTTACCGTTTGATGCTGAACAACTTCTTTCCGCCTCATTTAAGTACTCCGATGACTTGGTCATAGCTGGTGAGTCTGAATTAAATTGAGTCTTGATTTTTTATTAATTGCAGAAGCGTTATACAAGGAAGATATTTCATGATGTGATTGATAAATAACTTTCAGTAGATCTAGGATACGCATAAGATAAACTTATGTCGAGGCATTTTATCGATTTTGTACGATAAGCCCATACATTTGTCGTCTAAAAAAGTCGATAAGATTTAAAATGGCGCATCCTAGTCCGGCTGGAAATCTCCACAGCACTTAATTGGTACTAAATAGCTTAAATTAATCTTAGAGCTCTTTTGGGATATCATATTTTGTTTCCAATCACTGAATACTGCATATTTGTGTTTTAAAAAAATTTTGCAATTATTAGGTTGCATATTTTTGTATCACAGAAATTATGTAATAAACTCTCCAATACATGCCCTTGGCAAATGCTCAAGGCTGCAGATGGTTTTACTATCATGGATGTTATTGTCTTCTAAGATTTGAATTGCTCTAGCAAACTATAGTCGACTGCTTTATAAATAAATCAGAATGTATTTTGTAACGTTTCATTTATAATGTAATTGAATTTTTATGTGTTAACATAGAGTGGTGACTCATGTAACTATTGTGTGTGACAAAGTAACGACTTCACGGCCTGTTTTTCATGCACGATCTGTAGATAAAATAAATCCGATTGAATTAGCAGTAGGTATACGTGTTGCTTTGCAATAGGGAACAAAAAGAGCAAAATATTGCCAAAGATGTTGTATAGAAAGGTATGTTGTACTTCATGCTCAAACAGTACTTTCGCCTAACATCTTATGCAAGTAAAGTTCCAGGTTCAACTTTGGGTTCCGTGCCTCTAATGAAAAAAGAAACCGTGAATTATAAGTGAAACGAAAACGTTTCAATACACATCTGTGCATTCACTTCGCCCCTTTACTAATGTTAGGAAGCGAACGCACAAATAGTATTGCAGCGGAAATGTCCGCTAGCTTAAATTACCCTTTCTGCGTTATAGGATCACTCCATGTCTTCCGTCTAACGTAGTATCGCATCAATGTGTTACTGTTTGGATTTATCTTGCCCCAGGTGTAAAATGGGGAAGCGAATGCTAAAATTTCTGGTAGCTTAATATTTCTTGCTGCGAAATTATTTCTGCGTTTAGAATAACTACCTCGTTCGTTTAACGTAGTTAGACGGAGTTGGGTACTAGTACTGAGTTTGTTCCGGCGTTTCTTCTCAGCACTTGCCATATGTTTGTCTCGAAGCGCTGGTAGGGCCCAAAAGATAAAGAGACATGTAAAGTACCCCTTAAGGGCTACCTTTTTTTTAACTGTATTTTGACGTTCATAAGTGCCACTAGTGATCTAAATTGAATAAAATATTTTTGATTTTGAGTGTCGCATCGACAGACTGTATGACCTAGACTAGAGTAGTAGACTTGTATGACCGCTTGAATTTATTCACATTTATCTTCCCCAGGGGCAAGAGAGACCAACTGGCTCGGTCTGGACGCGTCGTCGGGGTCCATAATATACGAGTGTGGTTCGAGCGGGTGCAACAGCGAGCAACAGACAGCTGGCGCGGGCCGAGACATCCTAGTGTTGAGGCGACACTCTAACACTGTGAGGGCATTGGATCCGCGCAGTGGGAACGAAAAGTTAGTATTTCCAAACACTATGTTATTTAATACTAACTACTATACTCACACACTTGTTTATCAAAAAACTTTTAAAAAACATTGAATCATAAAAAGCACGAAGGCAGGGAAGGGGTTAATGAAAATGTTCCCTATAATTAGTCGCTTTAAATGAAATTAATATCAGGCTTCCCCAACCCTGTACAACGGGAACATGTAGCCAAATACTCCATTAGCAATGAGGCAAAGATTCTTACTGGCCTATTGTGTCAAGATTGTGGAACTAATCTAAGATAGAACGACGCTTGTCAGTTTTCTATGTATCGAAATGAATGCTTTCTTCGATGTGCATAATCTTTTCAACGCCATTGACTCTGGTAAAGAGAGGTTCGTGCACATTCAGTGAAGACTAAAGGTCATAGCAGACTTTCGCGAGCTGTCATCGCCTTTCGCGCGCTATCGACCGCGAGACGATGCGTTTGTTACGGTGCGGATAAGTGTACGTTACAGTATGGAGTTTCATACAAAGAATACTGATCGCCTCCAGTTGATACGGTTACGATCCCTTTCCGGGTTGATAAGTGTGCTACGTCCTTCAATTATTTGATGTTTTACAGATGGAACTTCAGCGTGGCCGAGCACCAGCTGGCATTAAGCCGGCGGGAGTGCGCGGGCGGCGCGACCGGTCCTCCGCCGGCCGTGGCTGTGGGCGTGGCTTTACCTGAGGGCGTGGTCGCCGTCCGCCGCCCGGGCGACGCGCGACTACTGTGGAGGCAGAAGGTACATGATTTGCTAATGAAATTAAGTCGTGTTTTAAAGAAGTGTCCGTTGCAATCTAATATTGTTTAATTAATGTTAAAATTAAGTGGATGCTTTTGGTAATTGTTAAATGTGTGTTGGTTCTTAGGCAAGTTTTATGTCCTCTAGTTTCGCATCCCGTCTTTTGTTACTGCTTTTAAAGCAAATACATTATGTATATTCGAGCCTAATTCTATTTTACTTTGCCATTCGGGTTCTATCAAGTTATGTAAGTAAAACATCCCGTCGACAAGCACTTACTTAATATGATCAGTGGTCCCATCCCAATACTCCGCGGAATAGTATCGCTACACGTACTTATATTTGCGTGTCGTACTCTGTACCACCGTGCAGTTGTTGCTAGCGTGCCTCACCCGTTTCAGCTCGGAATGACAACTTCTCAAAATGACAACCGGGGCCCAAAATGTCCACTTCTCGAAATGACAACTTCTTAAAATGTCAACTTCGCTAAAAGACAACTTCTCATAATGTCTACACACACCGGCAGATTTAGCGGAACGCAAAAAAAAGTATGAAAATAAGGAAAATTACTACTGATCTATGAAATATTTATTATACAAAATAAAGAGATAATTAAAATAAAATAAAATAACATATATTTTTTAAATATTTAGTCGTTTTTATTTAATAAAAAATCATCGAAACGAAATTTCAATTTTTCAGTTTTGAACAAAAATTAGAAATTGTGGCCAGATTAAAAATTAGGGTAGCTTATCACTATCCAAATGAATGAATTAATGATGGGTATTTCCCCCTCTTGCTCTGATGATGGTTTCCATTCATCTGAGCATGCTGCAGTTAATGATATGAAGGGTATTTTGGGGCAATGTCTGCCATTCCTCTAGTAACGCGTTTCTCAACACCACCGGTGGTATTCTGAGTTTAACACATCTTTTAAGAAAGTCCAAGACATGCTCTATAGGATTCTTGTCTAGGGATCTTGCCAGCCACTGCATCATGGGTATATCCAAATGGTTTAGATGTGCCTGTACTGAGCGAGCACTGTGAAAACGAACATTATCNTTTTTATATGATAAAACGAGATTTATATATAATAGAAACTAAAAATAAACTGTTCTATGTTAAGTTGATTGAGTATATTTCCATAAAAGACAATACATAACCAAACGATGCTGCGTGTAATGGATAAAAGACGTAAAGTTATCATTTGTGTAAATGAAAACATACTTTTTTTGGTAAATGTTGCCATTATGTAAACATTTGAGAGCTGCTTAGCTGATCACGGCTTCAAATCCGTTGAGTAGCGTTTGAGAATACCATTTAAAATTGAAGGATACTTAAATTTAGGAGCCCGTCAGCTGAGTGATAGATTTGAGTAGTGTTTCAGTATTCGGCCGTTAGTGTTTTTGTTTGCTAGAAATAGGTAGTAATAAATAATGCAACATGTGCCTTATCCATTTCTTAGTGACGAGATCTACGGCCGAATACTGAAACGCCATTTAAATATTTGACGGCTTCTCAAATAGTTAAGCAGCTCCTAAACTTACATTTCGCATAGTAGGGAATTTACNAAGCTTCATTCAATTCAAAACACTCAACGAAACTGTTGATGGGGTAATTTAAACAAAATAATTAAAAAAATATACTGTTGGCAATTATTTTTTTCATATTTAGAATTAAATTAAAAAATAATGTCATAATTAGGCATTTTTTTCCTAAAATAATGATGATATTGATGCTTTTTTTTCCGTTCCTCTAAATCTGCCGGTGTGTGTATTTCTCACAATGACAAATTCGCATTGTCATTTTGAGAAGTTGTCGTTCCGAGCTGAAACGGCCTCTCCTTGTTTTGTTTTCCGTCTTTCAATATTTTTTTACTGTCCACAGCTAGAAGCCCCAGTGGCAGGCATGTGGCGTCTACAAGGCGGTTCATTACAACACATCGACGTTCTATGGGAGGCGGCTCAGTCGTTAGTAGACAACGCGCCCGCCGCGCCGCCTTCACTGTATATCGGTGTGCATGACAGACAGGTGAGTGGTCCTATAGTCTGGTCTGCGAGCACGTAGAATTTTGTCCAATGACCCCAAGCTACCCATCCTTATCGCTCGCGCGTAATTATGTTTCTGTCGCGCTCGCACACTCACTGCGGGCGCCCGTCGCACAGTCGCGAAAGTAATATAATGAGGGCTATCGTTTTTATACTTAACAGTTGGCACCCCTGGCGATTGACAGGACCTTACTCTACAGTGGCGCCATCTTGATTAGTGCAAATGCGATAGTCCTCCTACCACTTTCGCGCTCACCAGTAGGTGTCACTGTCTTCGCTACTAGCAAGTGACAGGACCTCACTCTACAGTGGCGCTAACTGGTGAGTGCTAAAACGATAGCCCTCATTACGCGCGAGCGATAAAGATGGGTAGCTGGGGGTCATTGGACAAAATTCTACGTGCTCGCAGACCGGGCTTTACAGGTCCCGTGGCAGGCATGTGTCTACAAGGCTCGCTACAACACATCGACGTGCTGTGGGAGGCGGCTCAGTCGTTAGTAGACGCCGCTCCCTCGCTGTACATCGGCGTGCATGATAGACAGGTGAGTGGTCCTACAGGCCCCGTGGCAGGCATGTGTCTACAAGGCTCGCTACAACACATCGACGTACTGTGGGAGGCGGCTCAGTCGTTAGTAGACGCCGCTCCCTCGCTGTACATCGGCGTGCATGACAGACAGGTGAGTGGTCCCACAGGCCCCAGTGGCAGGCATGGGGCGGCTACAAGGTGAGGCCCGGTAATTAAACGCGGTGCTGTCATTGCGTGATCGCGTCGCTATAATACAACTTGCAACTGGTTGCTAAGATTAATTTATAGTATGTTTGCAACGCGCGCGGTACTAGAGGCCCCAGTGGCTAAATGGCGGCTCAATATTTTCATCATCTAAAATTATATCAGGGCATACGATAGGCAGGTGAGAGTGGCTTAAACAATTACAAATTTTATTCATCAAGTCGTCGGGCCGAGGAATCCTGCCTACATAATGTATTTCGGTCCGTGGTCGGTAGTCGCCACTCAATAACTTTTCTGCCTCAACGGCCAAAAGTTCTACGAGCTTCATGAACTTTATATACAACTAGCTTTCCGCCCGCGGCTTCGCCCGCGTGGAATTTTGTCTGTCACAGAAAAACTTTATCGCGCGCGTCCCTGTTTCAAAAACCGGGATAAAAACTATCCTATGTTCTTTCCCGGGACTCAAACTATCTCTATGCCAAATTTCATCAAAATCGGTTGCGAGGTTTAAGCGGGAAAGCGTAACAGACAGACAGACAGACAGACAGACTGAGTTACTTTCGCATTTATAATATTAGTTGGGATTTAAATGTGTTCTTTCAATGCTACTTACCTTAAAATTAGACTCGTGACTACTATCTTATCTGTTAATCCAAGTTAACTCATGAATCAGTAAATGCACATTTATTTGTTTATTAAAATTAAGATAGTGTAATATTTGTTATATGCCGAAAAAGATAAATTGATATCTTGCCTTCGTTCGTTTCAGCCAAATTAATGACTTCCACAGCTGGCCAAAAGCTTTCCCCAAGGATTTCCATAACGACCTAACCTAACTTCTGTTTGCTTAAACGATGATTATGAATCTGACAAAATCATCTATTATTATTTTACAATGTGTCAAGTGATCAAATTAGTTTTTTACACGTCACTAGAGACATCGAAACGTATATTTTAAAACGCTAAACACTTTGGTATTGATCGTTTCATCCATGAAGACGCTCCCCACCATTCTTCCGCTAATGTTTGAGTGTTATCAGTACACGCTAAATTATCCATGAGTGCACACGCACACTACAATAATGACGCTGGGATTGCTCGGATCAAACTCCCCGCACCTCGCGCTACCCTCGACCAAAAATTGGTGGGGCGCGTCTTCGTGGATGAAAAACGATCTATATCATAAGTTGTTGTAAATAGGAATGATTTTGCAACAAAAACTTCAAAGGATGATGGGCACTTTTCTATGGAATCTGGGCGTAAAACCAACAGAAATGTAACTACTATTATTTGTTAGGACTTAGTATCAGAAATATATTTTCATATAAATAACTACCAAAAACTCCCGGGTTTGCTTGGAAATTGACATAATGTATAATAGTCATAGGTGTTTTATTGCGCAAACAAAAAATATAATCAATTAATATACCTACATTGTTACATTAAGTTATTTTTAACAATTATTATGTCCAACAGTTAAGGAGTGGGGCCAACAAATTGTATAAAATAAGTCCATGTTCTACATTACGTGCGTAGGACCACACCTGGTCTACTCGTAGGTACCATTTAGAGAAATGAAATGAACACACAGTCATGTTTCAATGGGATTTCTACCAGTTAAGCTTTAGTGTTGTCGCATAATCGATCCGTGATCGATTATTAATCGATATTGCCAATTAACGATTTATCGATTAACAATTCGATTAATCGATTTTATTGATAACCATCATTACTATCATTTGATTGTCAATTCGATTCCTTATTTTCAGCAATATAATCGATTATTTCAATCGAATAATCGATTATGATTTATTCGGTATACATACTTACTAAATCGATAGAATCGATAGTAAGATATGATACAATACTCTCAATATGATCGATAAAAGCAATCTAATTGATCGAATACTATTTTTATTACTCTAATGTGATGTGAAATACTATAGAAACTTTGCATATTCAACGACCTCTATCTCCGTATCCCCGCGTATTTCAGGATTGTTGTCATACTATGAAATGAAGTACTAGTATTAAGCTTTAATTTAGTATACTTTTTGTTTCTGTTGGTTTAACGCCCAATATGCCCATCATCCTTTGATCTGTTCTTTGTACAATCCTACTTAATATTATAAATGCGAAAGTTTGGATGTTTGGATGTCTGGATATCTGGATGTTTGTTACTCTTTCACGCAAAAACTACTAAACGGATTTTGATGAAACTTTACAGTATTATTGTATTTAACCCAGATTAACATATAGGTTATAATTTATGACGATCTGTGACAAACTAAATTTCACGCGGGTGAAGCCGCGGGCAAAAGCTATACACTATATAGTTTTGTTTACCTTCCAGCTATACATCCAAGAAAGCGTCTTCTACGCTCAGAAACTTGAGACATCAGTATCAGCCAAGCCAGTGCCGTGGAAACTGAAGCACTCGCGGCCTCTGCTGGACGGACAGGAAACTGCGCTGTCGGTGCAGGACCCCGAACCTAACACGCTGTCCCTGATCACCCTGTATGGCACCACTGAGCCTACGGGTAAGTGATGTTTTGTGATTCATAGCCACGATAGCCCAACGGTGAAGTGGTCGGACTGGCCGACTCGAGATCCGAGGAACGCGGGTTCGAAACCCACCGCCGCTCGACTATTGTGGTGAGCCCACTCGTAACCACCAGCTTATTTAGCTTAACACGAAGGGCTAATGGGACTATTACCAGGCCTGTTCATCTCCGCGAGTTTACATCGAAAACAAAACACGCACGATTGCCCCCTACAAGAGTACTATTCGACAAGGCCTCACATACGAGCGAACATTGACTCACGCACGCGTATTCTTGTGTATGATGGAAGAAAATATAGAAAATGGTGTACTAAATACTGTGCAGTATTTAACTGCCTAAATAATAATAAAAACACAGAATGTACTTTTTTAAGTTGCCTCAAGACACTGAGAGGTAAATAAGTAGTTAATATTATTCATGATAATTCATGCTAAATCATGTATTTCCTCCGCCATTTTCTGCAGATTGGCACCTCACGTCACATCATTTTACCGAAGTCAGCCCTATAGCTTCGGCGCAGTGCCGATCACTGACGTTTGTCAACAAAACTTCTGACAAACTTGCTTGACTCTTGAGACAAGCTAAATTACACCATATTGTTAATGACATTGAGCATACATTTTTTTAAATACCTTCGCGAAGTAAAACTTCTGTACGTAGTACTTATTATTATTCTGTGCTATTACTAATGTGGGCAATACAAATTACTAATAATCTTTAAAAAAATAGCCTATTATTGAACATTGACTTGTCCTTGATACTTGAGTGCTTCCCGTCCTTGCTTTAAAAAAATGTGAATATTAGTTCAGCGGTCTAGGCGAGCATGTACGCACCAATTTATATCTATTTATAACAACACTATAGAAAATTGAGTAAATAAATTCCAACTGAGCATATTTAAAATCATAATGAGGTTAAGCAGTTATGCACTATGTTTGTCTGATCCGAATCCGTGAAAATATGGTTCGGAGTACTTATAGAGCTATTCTTATAGTTTTACTGACACTAATACGAGTAGATCCCATTTCTGTCATCCGATATCTCTATTTATTTTGTATTTTGACGGAATCTGATCGGATTTTATGCCTTCACTACACTATCTTTCTTCAATACCACAACATCATATTGCATTTTGAAGCAATAACTAGCAGGCTTACAAAATATTCTCATTCCCAGGCAACCACGGCTTCTTCCTCTACCTCCAAGAGACGTGCGACCAAGCAGTCCAAGTGTCCGAAGAATCCATCGACGGCCCGGACATAGTCCTGCCCACACCGGACGAGGATCACGAACATCATCATATACACGTGCACGTGTATTCTCTATGGTTCTGGTGGAAGGAAGTGCTGCTGATAGCAGTCAGTTCGGCATTGCTGATGAATCTGATGATATGGCCGAGGTTCTTCGCTCCGAAGCTGAGGCCAAGCACGCCACTGCCTGTTAACCATCAGGTAAGTTTATTCAATACTTTCAAACGACAGAAGGAAATACATATAGCCGAGCGGTGAAGGGGTCGGACTGGCCGACTCGTGATCCGAGGAACGCGGGTTCGAATCCCAGACCATTGTGTTGAGCCCACTCGTGACACAAGCACATTTAGCTTACCACGAGGGGTAAACGGGGTTATTAGTAATTTGTATTTACAAATTGCATTATTTAAAAAAACATAACAAGTAGTGAATATTAATGACTAGCTCGGCAAGCTTCGTGCTGCTTATGTCCAGAAGTAATGGTAAAAGATTTATTCAAACTTGTCCAGTAGTTTCGGAGCCTATTCAATACAAACAAACAATCCAATCGTTCCGCTTTATGATATTAGTTTAGATAATAATCATTCGATTTCAGATAATTAAGCGACTGTAATTTAATTCCGAGAACAATAAAATTAATTATGAAATATTGTGAAAGTAAATTCACTTTCTAATAGTTAAGCCTTGTAAATCGAGAATAATCGAGATACGTTAGAAACCCCACTAGTCAGGCGGTTCTTTTTTATTCTAATTTAGTTATTTACGCTCATCCTTTCCTTGTACCAGGAGAACATAATAGCGGGGCGGTACTATGAGCCACTCAGGAGTACTCGTAGTTTTTATAACAACCCCTTTTTCCAGGAGTATTTAAGATTATTTGTTTTCGTTAATTTAGTTAATTATAACCGTCTCTTGTACCAGGAGAATATAATAATGAAGGCTTACTACGAGAGTCCTCAAGAGGGCGATATGAGAACTATTCACCCGGTCTCGGCAGAGACGGCTTCTTTTTATTGTAATTTAGTTTACGCTCATCCTTTCCTTGTACCAGGAGAACATAATAGTGGAGTGGTAATACTCGGTAGTGGTAACACTACTACTAATACTCGGGGCGATACGAGAACGATTTCACCCCGCTGCGCTGCCTAGACCCCTAAAATAATAGCTACCTTTTCACAGGAGATCTTAGATAGATGGAAAATATTTATTTGTCTCAAAACAGGTCTCTTTTATGGTTCTGTCCCTAAACTTAGCTGATCATAACCCTTTTATTTTACTAGGAGAACATAATAGTGGAGCGGTACAACTAGGGTTTCTGCTCGAGCTTTCTCGAACTCGAGAAAACTCGAGAAATTTGGCTTCATTCGAGACGAGAAAAAAATTACCGGAGCTCGAGAATTCTCGAGTTTCGATTTTGAAGCTTTAATATTCTTGAAAGCCTATTTTCTTAGACAAAATTAAGTGTTTAATTATTTAATAGGTTAACGTTGCGTTTAGACTGGCCTAGTTTTTCCTTTTTTTAACTAATTTGATTTGCAAGTAATGATCTTAACCGAAACTAATAATGATCACCTACGAGTATGCTATATTTTATTATGTTTGTATAACTGACTGATTTAAAGACTGATTTTTTTTATTAATATCTGTTAGTTTAGGTACCTACTCGTAAATACATTTATTCAAATTTAAATGTTTTTTTGTTTGTAAATGCAGGTTTATTATCGTAATTTTTCAATTAATTTGGACTTGTGTTCTTTGGAAAACAAGTGATTCAATTGGAGCTCCAGATATTTATGGTTATTAATCCTTAAAGTACACGCGACTTTTTGACTTTTGTTCCTTTAGTTAATTACTAAGTTATAATTATCCTACTAATATTATAAATGCGAAAGTTTGTGTGGATGTCTGGATGTTTGTTACTCTTTCACGCAAAAACTATTGAACGGATTTTGTTGAAACTTTACAGTATCATTGATTATAACCCAGACACATTATAACATTAATAAAAACCCGTGTTTTTATTAAATTTCAACCGATTTCAACAGTTTTAATTAAAAGACTCGAGACCCGAGAAAACTCGAGACTTTGGCCTCGAGAATTCCCGAAACTCGAGAAAAAAAATAAGTCGAGAAATCAAAAACCCTAGGTACAACGAACATCCGCTATTGACTCCCCCTACTCAGTAATACTCGGGGCGATACGAGAACGATTTCACCCCGCTTCGAGCTTCTTTTTTATTGCAATTTAGTCATTTACGCTCATATTCCTTTGTACCAGGAGAACATAATACTAACCCACCACTACCGATGGTTCTTCCTACGGCGTACCGAATCTCGGGAGAGCGCGCGGGTACTTGCTCTGGGCTCTTTTCCCCGGGCGCTTTGCTTGACTCCCTTCAAATTTCTCTGATCCATGTCTCTTCTTATAGTCAATTCTCCCCCTACCAGGAGAACATAATAGTAGAGCGGTACTACGAGCGGCCTCCACCGAGTCCCCCCACCCAGGAATACTCGGGGCGATACGAGAACGATTTCACCCCGCTGCGCTGCCTAGGCCCCTAAAATAATAGCTACCTTTTCACAGGAGAACTTAGATGGTTCTTTCCCTAAACTTAGCTGATAAACCCTTTTATTGTACTAGGAGAACATAATAGTAGAGCGGTACTACGAGCGGCCTCCACCGACTCCCCCCACTCAAGAATATTCGGGGCAATACGAGAACGATTTCACCTCGCTGCGGGCTTCTTTTTTCTTGCAATTTTGTTATTTACGCTCGTCCTTTCCTTGTACCAGGAGAACATAATAGTGGTGCGGTATTATAAGCGACTCACCCCGCTGCGCTGCCTAGGCCCCTAAAATAATAGCTACCTTTTCACAGGAGAACTTAGATGGTTCTTTCTCTAAACTTAGCTGACCCTAACCCTTTACTTATACCAGGAGAACATAATAGTAGAGCGGTACTACGAGCGGCCTCCACCGACTCCCCCCACTCAAGAATACTCGGGGCGATATGAGAACGATTTCACCCCGCTGCGCTGCCTCGGCCGAGGCGGCTTCGGCGTGGTGTTCGAAGCAAGGAACAATATCGACCACTGCTCGTATGCTGTGAAGAGGATCACGCTGCCTAAAAGGTATCATCATCGTTATCAGGCCATGTTTCTATTGCAGGCGGACGATTATCTCTAATTTACCTAATGTAAAAGGTACAAGTAATATTTTTTAGTTAGACTAAAGCTTGCAATATCCAAGTTACTAAACTGGGAAGTAGACAAGTAATTTCATTATGTGTGGAACACTCATCGTGGGTCAAATCACGATCAAAAGACGTAATAGATTTTTATAGGAGCGAATTTTAGAGTAGGCACACACCGTTGATTTTTCGTCGGCCGATAGTTTAGTCGGGCAGTTGATCAGTATGGGCATGTATGGGAGTGCGCACACTACGCCGATTCGATTTCTCCGATTCTTCATACAATTTAAAATCGGGCACAACTATCGGCCAACTAAAAATCAACGGTGTGCGCGCCTACTTAGAGAAAGTTTGAACTGAAGTATGGAAAAATTTAAATGCATTATGGGGCCTTTTGACTGTCAATACTGGCATTCAGTTACAATCTTTTGTGAGGTTATAAAATGAACGTTTTTAATAACATGGTGAGTTTAACTGAATATCGCCATTTTTATTTTATTTTTTAGCGTTAAGAGTCGCATCTCAAACTATCGCCATTTTGTTAGATACGCCTTTTGGTGATTCGACACACGATATTTCAAAATCACTCGTTGCTGGCCATACAGAGCCCCGATTACGGTAACTTTTAACGTCTACAATCCAGACACGCTTCATCGATTCTGCGATACGATTGGTCAAAACAGCTGACGTACGCTATTGAATGACCAATCGTATCGCAGAATCGAGAAGCGTGTCTGGATTGTAGACGTTAAAAATTACCGTAATCGGGGCTCAGGTTGGGGAAGCCTTATGTTCTCACATTTGTCCCTTACTCGCCTCTTTCCTACGACATCCACAGTAACTGTGGTAATGATCCTATTCTCGGATCTACATGGGTAATGGGAACAAATTAATATAAAGTTTTCATAAAAATAATGTGTCCCTGCAGGGAATCGAAGCGCGAGCGTGTCTTGCGCGAAGTTCGCGCGTTAGCCAAGCTGGAGCACGAAAATATCGTGCGCTACTTCAACGCCTGGCTCGAGGAGCCGCCGCCGCTGTGGCAGGAGCAGCGAGACGCTGTCTGGATGAGGTAGGAGGATACATCATCATCTTCATCATCATCATCATCATCTTGAACACCACCATTTTCATCATTATTATCATCGCCATTGCTATAACCGTTCGACGCAATCATTATAATTTCTCTATCATTCTGTCATAATCATCAGTTCAACTTATTGCTTCGCGCTAAGAGAGCTTTAGTGTGAGTTTACATCAAATGTCGTCACTAGTGATCGCGTAAAAAATGACATTTAATGTATGACGGATTGTACAGCGACCTTAGCGGATACTTTCAAGAACGAAAATCTTCATAATTTTTAGACGTTGGATATAAACTCACACTAAGCCCTCATTTAAACAGTGCTTCCCGTACTGAGCTACAGTTCGCTGGTATTCTACGTACTAAACAAACACAATGTTTTATTTTTGTATACGCACACACACATCACGATTAGGTACTTAATACTGGCCATGTGCAATTCGCATTAAGCCATAAAACAAAAAAACATCGAATTGGAATTAGACAAAAGCCATAATGAAACAAAAAAAATTATTCTAAATTCAAATTTGAATTTGACAGAGAACTGGACGGAGTCTCCGTAGCCATGACAGATGAGTGTACCGCCACGTCACCGCCTAACAAAAGCAGCCACACTAAGCGGGACAGTGTTCGGTTGGAACTACAGAAGTCTATTGACGATTGCGTGGACGCGCTTGACTATGAGAAGCGGCTGGCTGATCTGCCTAAGAGAAACAGGTGGGTTGATTTATAAATAATATTTTATGTGGCTGTATGGCGTAAGCCTTTGCGTTTTCCTGCAAAAAAAAAAGAAAAATCTATGGAGTGCGGGTTTTGGCGGGAAAGTAAAACGTCATCTGCAGTGTTTTGTTTTCTAATATTTGTGTTTAGCCGAATATTGACGTATGACGTGTTATCATCATTATCAAGTCATTTAGGCGGTTAACACACTGCGCCGCGCTCTGCCGCGGAGCGCGTTATTTCATATAAAAAATCACGCGCGCGGACGCGTTGTCAGTGTGAAGTGCCGCGCGTGTTTTCCATACAAACTGAGGTACTTGCATACAATTATTAAATCTGTCGCGCAGTGTGATAACCGCCTTATTCTTCACTGCAGTAGCATACGCCACTCAAGTAGAGGGACATAAGGAACTTAATGTTCAGGACGAGTCCTTACGTCTTCTTTTAACGACATCTACGACAGTGTATAATGATGGTGGATTTATTTCACACTGTTGTAGTGACATAAATGTTAAATTCAAATAGTCTATTTCAAGCTTCTCTTATCCATTTCAGATCGCTAAGCTGCAACGACTCTTTCAGCATAGTATTCGAAGACAACGTCTCCAAACATTCCCAAAACTCACACCACTCGTCCCGGAATTCCCACCATTCGTCCCATAATTCAACCCACCACTCCACCCCTACATCCCCCAAACATAGCAGCCACGATTTTAATATCAGCACAACGCCCGACCTATCCAAAAACCTGGGAGATTACGCAACCACCGATCTGTCAAAGAACATCACTAGCGGGGATTTTGGGGTGAAAAATGTACCCCAAATTGCAAGTGGGGACAATGACGATTCATTTATTGTGTTCGCACATTCCGAAAACCCGAAGTCTGGACAGAGCGAAGCGAGAAAAGAATCTTCGGTGGACAAAAGACTAGAGAGGGTGAAAGAGATTGATGGATTCACTAAGACTGACAGCACTAGTAGTAAAAATAAAAAGGTATGTTGGTTCATAAATCTATTTTTTAATAATACAAACACAATATTGCGAATTTAATTAACACTACTACACGAGCCATAATCAAAACAAAAAAACATCGAATTTGAATTTGGCACAGAAACCATAATTATTATAATTATTACGTTGGATCATATAACCAATTTTTTAATAAAATAATATATATATTTTAGTCTCTACCTCTGCTAACATTGCGATTAATGAAATAAAAACTTGTACTATTTCAACACGCTCATTTATTTTATCAGAGGTAAATAGACGATTAGTCTAAGGGCCCTCGCCCACGGCGACTTTTTCGCGCGTTTACGAAACGCGGTACAGCATCGCTACTAAAGCGCGTTAGTCTTATTTGCAACGCACTACAGAAGTACACACGACTGCATCGTTACAAGTTCCGTGGGCGAGGGCCCTTACACAAGTGTCGGGTACACTAGCTATAGTCTTTTTCACCTAAGATGATCCGTATGACGTTTCGAGTTTGAAAGATTTAGAGATGTCACATAACTAAACCATAGCGATTTATCTATCGATTTTTTTCGAAGAGTTAGTAAAACCTACTTTTAGAGAAATATTTTGTATAGGTTATTTAACAAAAAACATGTTTTTTTTAATTACAAATATTATAGTAACAATTTTCTATTGATAATATTCAAATTTCATGGTTCGTGTTAAAAAAAACGATTCCTAAAAAGTACTGGTTCTGTTTCTTTAAATTAAAAACTATTCATTTATTTTCAATGCGTTTATTAAAGTCAATAATCGAAAAATATAGTTGATTTTTGTGATGCTTTTAATAACTAACGGTCTTATTCATAATAAAATGCTAATATAGGTTTAAAACCTACATTAGCTAAAACGTTTGATAGGCTTAAAACACTCTTATAAACCTCTGATAAAAAACGTTATTCATAATCGTTTATAAACCTTTGATAGCTAAAACAGAGTTTAATATTTTCTTTCCACAGACTATACAAAAAGAATGAACGAAAACAGCTTTTTTGGCTATTTAACTTGGTGGACCATGTAAAATCATAGACAAATCGCAGAAAAAAAAAACAAAAAATTGGCAGCTGTGACGTTTTACTTACTGACATTGACATTTGGCACGAAAATTTAATAAAGTTTTCGGTTTTTTCGATCAACTCCCAAGTTTTATCAAACTTTTATAAAACTTGGGATTGTATGTTCTGGATTCTGTACCTCTTACCCTGTACTCTGCAATAAGCTCTTACGACGACCCGGCTAGTTACATCGGATACTAATTATGTCCATGACGAAGGAGAACAGACCGCCTAAAAGGCAACGATCAGAAAACGCCCGCAAGAAAGAAAAAGGCAACACCAACAACAATTACGCCATATATGCTGCCAACGGAACGAAAATAAGAACTTATGGACTTAAAACCGTCACCTTAGATCTTGGCTTAAGACGACCCTTCACGTGGACCTTCGTCATTGCAGATGTACGTCGATCCATCCTTGGTGCAGATTTCCTGGCTAAGAATCAGCTTAACATCGATCTCAGCGCAAAGAAATTAATTGACAAAATCAATAATTTGTCAATATCAACGCACACATCGATATCGTCTGAATCATCAATTCGCACAATCGACGTCACCTGCCCATACGCCGAGTTACTAAGCGAATTTCCTGACGTAACAAGGCCGTCGACGCTGAAAAATGCACCTAAGCATAATGTCGTGCATTACCTACATACGACGGGACCGCCGACCTATGCAAAAGTTCGTCCGTTGAACCCAGCAAAATATAAAGCAGCGAAGGAAGAGTTCCAGAGGATGATGGACCTGGGCATCTGCCGCCCCTCCGACAGTCCCTGGGCAACGCCACTACACATTGTTAATAAGAAAAATGGCGAGTTGCGACCTTGCGGCGACTATAGACGTCTTAACGCTGTCACTCTTCCTGATCGCTATCCTATACCACGACTCCAGGACTTCACATACCTACTGCACAACAAAAATATCTTCTCGAAACTTGACATCCGCAAATCGTTCCATCACATCCCAATCTTTGAAGACCACATACCGAAGACAGCGATAACAACACCCTTCGGCCTATTTGAATTTACAAGGATGACGTTCGGACTTCGTAATGCCAGCCAAACGTTCCAAAGATTCATGGATATGGTATTAAAAGGACTGGATGTTTTCGTTTTCGTCGACGATATCTTATTACCATCATGCAGCGAGAACCAGAATAAGATCCTGTTGAGACAAGTTCTAGAGAGACTTGACAAATACGGTATCGCACTAAATGTAGACAAATGCGAATTCGGCAAAGCCGAGATAGAATTTCTGGGGTATCACATATCCAAAGATGGAATACGACCCCTAGAAGAGAAGACCAAGGCCATCACAAGTTTCCCCCTACCCACTACCGTACAAGACTTGCGTCGCTTCCTGGGCATGATGAACTTTTATCGTCAATNGTAAGTATTCACTGCAATCGATTAATGAACCGCGGAAATAATCAATTTTATCATACAAGAAATACCCCAGCACTAAATCTATTCCGTTTCACACATTGCGTACATTAAATAAAAAATATTTTTACATCGTATTTAATTAAATTATAATCAATAGACTCAGATTTTACTATATATTTCAAGACAAGTAGTTAATTTATTTTTATTATATTGCTAATAAAATACAAATATTTTTTCAAAAATATTCTGCATATGTACTATGCGTAAAATGGATAACCTTGAAGTGTCATACGGATCATCTTACGTGAAAAAGACTATAGACATCCACGGGATGAATGGTAATGGTTCTATTCTACTCTAAAACCTCATGGCTAATGTATGTTAATTATGTTTAACTGATTGTCCACAGAAGGGCCACAGGCGACACTGGTCATTAGACTTGTGCGTCCGCACAGAGCCGGCCGCTAGCAAGATGTACCTCTACATCCAGATGCAGCTGTGTCTCCGCGACAGCCTGCACGACTGGCTGCGGCTCAACCGCACGCCCGCCTCGCGCGGGGACAAGGTACGACAAGGGTACAAGATACGACACGGGTACAAGGTACGACATAGGTCCAAGATACGACGTGGGTACACTCTGCATAGGTACACGGGTACACTGTGCACTGCACAAGGGACACATGCGGCACTGGTCACTGGACCTGTGCGTCCGAACCGAGCCAGCTGCGAGCAAGATGTACCTCTACATCCAGATGCAGCTGTGTCTGCGCGACAGCCTGCACGACTGGCTGCGGCTCAACCGCACGCCCGCCTCGCGCGGGGACAAGGTACGACACGGGTACAAGGTACGACACGGGTACAAGGTACGACACGGGTACAAGGTACGACACGGGTACAAGGTACAACACGGGTACAAGTTACGACACGGGTACAAGGTACGACACGGGTACAAGGTACGACACGGGTACAAGGTACGACACGGGTACAAGGTACGACACGGGTACAAGGTACGGCAAGGGTACATTGTGCACAGGTATACGGGTATACTGTGCACGTGTACACTGTGTATAGGTACACGGGTACACTGTACATAGGTACACGGGTACATTGTGCACAGGTACTGTGGTATAGGTGTACCAGAATCTCATGGCAAACAAAAATATTGGAAAAGTGTGTTTTTCATATGGCAATTGTCTATGGTTTAATTGTCACCTGTCAAAGAAAATTATGAAATCTGTCAGCCGCTGCAAAATTTTTGTAATCTCTTCTTGACTATTTGTTATTTTTGTGAAAAAGTCGAAAAAGTTCAAGCAAGGCATATTGTTTTCAATGTGAATTGTAAAATAAGGCATAATTCAAAGTCGATCTTTGATTCTAAAGCGCGTCGTCGAGTTGACAGTAGGGATGTTCCGATACCACCTAAGTATCGATACCTACTCATTTCGATAATACTCAAATCTTTTTTCGATACTACTTAAATAAGTACTCCTAAAGTATCGATACTTACTGATATCGATACTTTTTGGAACTTTTATTTTGTTTTATTATTTTGAGGGTGCTATCAATGAACGTTGAAGGACAATAATTTAAACAAAATTGAGAAGAAAACAACTATTATCCGATGGAATAAACCGATGAATTTGATGATTACAATTAATAAAATTACTTGTAAATAGTCACTTAACACTTTCACAATGGCGGAATGGCGAGATGATTTGCGGGCGGGTGCGGGTGTCTCCTTCTCTCGCTTTCGGCTCGGGCTCTAGTAACTCGGTAACCGATTAAAGCTGATTAGCTGACTGTTTTTACTCTCTCAGTTCTGTATGATGCGTTCTCGGTTTTTTTTTTATTGTTTTCGGTTGTTTTGCTGATTCGATTCGATACCAAGTATTTTTGTTTCGATACCGATTATGTATCGCAAAATTGATTCGATACAATAAATACTTGGTATCGAATCAAAAGTATCGAGTACCTACTCGTATTTATTAGTATCGGAATATCCCTAGTTGACAGTAAGTTGGACTGAAATGTTTTGATACATTTAGTTTATTACCCAACTGTGTCAGAAGGAGGGTTGTGTTTTTTTATATTATTCTTACTTAATAGCTGTTTTATCGGGGTTTTCAGGTATATCTCACAAATTGGTGCAGATGTTATGACCATGTAAAGAAAATTGAAAAAGATTTCATAAAGCTAGATTGAATAATGGAGAAGTTTCCAATTTTTTTCTTTGAAATAAACTTGAAATAAATATAAGTAGAACTAATAATAATTGTGAAATAATCATGAAAATATCACAAATAAATAAGTTACAGGGCTCTAAAGTTGCGCATAACTATTCACGCTATTTTGATCGGTGTATTCACACAGTCATTCGGAGTACAAACAGTAAATCACCCCTGATCCAGCCAGTTCATTTTTTTTTTAAATCTAGCAGTTATTAATTTTTCAGCTAGGGTCACTCAAGATTCTTTCTTAATAAAATGTAACCTTTTTTTTTCAATAACCCAGACCTGAGCCCCGATTACGGTAACTTTTAACGTCTACAATCCAGACGCGTTTCTGATTCTGCGATACGATTGGTCAAAACAGCTGACGTACGCTGTTGAACGACCAATCGTATCGCAGAAACGAGAAGCGTGTCTGGATTGTTGACGTTAAAAATTACCGTAATCGGGGCTCTGGCCATATACAAAAAGAACGGCACCGCCTATGTTTCAGTTCCACGCGAAAATATGTAGGTAATTTAAATAATAATTTCTCAGACATTTCTTTTCTCACAGACGATTTATTTAATTTCCAAGACATTTTCCTATGTTAAAAACCTGATGTATAACAACATTCTTTTTTTTTTTTTTTTTTTTTTCAATTCTTCCACCACACATACCTACCTAAAATGTATATTCGTACTTCATGTTCATTAATATTAGTCATAAAAGTAAAAAATTAAACAGTATCAAGATCGTTTATTCCAATTTCCCCAGTATTGCTCTCAACAAAGTTTATTTTTCCTATTTGCCATGAGATTCTGGTACACCTATACTTGTGAGTGAATCCTGGTTTAGCCTAGGTGCAGACCACCGATGTTTATAAACTTCAGGGCATAAACGTTATCCTATTATTGACAAGATAATTAAAGCTGTCAAAACGAACTTATGACGTCACTATCGACGATGACATATTTACTTAACGTTTCACGGCTTTTCAGGGCTGCAATTAACCCTGTATTGCACCATCTTACTTAAACTTTAACAAACTCCAAAAGTCTGCCAAACCCTATAATACACCGGTATAGTTATAGTAACGGATAAAGTTACGAAAATGCAACTCAGACCATGTGTTTTTTTTTTGTGTCTTTCTTTGGAATTGTTGGTTACTTTTTCAACTATGATTAAGTTTTGCTACATTTCACCTATCCTTTCCAGGTCAAAGTCCTCTTCAGCCAGATAGTATCGGCCGTGGAATACGTCCACCTAGCGGGTCTCATCCACCGCGACCTCAAGCCCAGCAATATCTTCTTCGCGCCCGACGGGAGGGTCAAAGTGGGCGACTTCGGACTGGTGACCGCCATGAATGACAGCTCGCAAGATGGCGGCCCGACTGATGAGATTGACGCGTATGCGAGACACACGTATAGAGTTGGTAAGTGTCCTTTCCAGGTCAAATCCTCTTCAGCCAGATAGTATCGGCCGTGGAATACGTCCATCTAAAACCTGGTCCGTGAGCACGTAGAATTTTGTCCAATGTCCCCTAGCTACCCATCCTTATCGCTCGCGCGTAATTATGTTGCTATCGCGCTCGCACACTCACTGCGGGCGCCCGTCGCACAGTCGCGACAGCAATATAATTACGCGCGAGCGATAAGGATGGGTAGCTGGGGGCAATGGACAAAATTCTACGTGCTCACGGACCGGGCTTTAGCGGGTCTAATCCACCGCGACCAGCCAGGTCAAGCCCAGCAATATCTTCTTCGCGCCCGACGGCCGGGTCAAAGTGGGCGACTTCGAGCTCGTGACCGCCATGAATGACAGCTCGCAAGATGGCGGCCCGACTGATGAGATTGACGCGTATGCTAGACACACGTATAGAGTTGGTAAGTGTCCTTTCCAGGTCAAAGTCCTCTTCAGCCAGATAGTATCGGCCGTGGAATACGTCCATCTAAAACCTGGTCCGTGAGCACGTAGAATTTTGTCCAATGTCCCCTAGCTACCCATCCTTATCGCTCGCGCGTAATTATGTTGCTATCGCGCTCGCACACTCACTGCGGGTGCCAGTCGCACAGTCGCGACAGCAATATAATTACGCGCGAGCGATAAGGATGGGTAGCTGGGGGCAATGGACAAAATTCTACGTGCTCACGGATCGGGCTTTAGCGGGTCTAATCCACTGCGACCTCAAGCCCAGCAATATCTTCTTCGCGCCCGATGGAAGGGTCAAAGTGGGCGACTTCGGGCTCGTGACCGCCATGAATGACAGCTCGCAAGATGGCGGCCCGACTGATGAGATTGACGCGTATGCGAGACATACGTATAGAGTTGGTAAGTGTTTTAAAATAACTATCTGATCTTAGTTAATAAATTTCATCATTGCAGGATTTTTTTCTCATAATTTTAGTTAACATTTTAAATACGTGATATGCAATGAATAGCATTATTTATGAGTATTTTTGGCCGTCTTAAGGCACAGCAAACTATCACTTCAAAAAAGTTGCGTACCTAGTCCTTGACCTTTTTTGTGCTATGCAGGTAAAGTTCGTATCATTCATTTTATGCTTTGTTATAAAAGAAGAATTATGTTGATCCATATTTTAAATGTAAACCGGCTAGTTCTTTAGTTTTTGGTACCTCACCATTTTAATACATTTCCTCACGAATGAACCTCGGTTTTTCCCGCAATGTCACATGCACAAAAGTACGCCGTACAAACTACCTTATATTCTGCTTTCATAAGGCTTAAATTCCAATAAAAACTATTCCCTTTCCAGGCACACACCTCTACATGTCGCCAGAACAGCTTCTCTGCCGTCCCTACAGTTACAAAGTGGACATCTACTCCTTGGGGCTGATTCTGTTCGAATTACTACAGCCATTCGGGACCGAGTCCGAGCGAGTGACGTGCCTCCTAAGATTGAGAGACGCGCGGTACCCACATCGTTTCAACGAGGAGTACCCACAGGAGGTATGTTAGACCCAGTTCTCTAAGTTGCAAGTTGCAGTCTCATGAGTAAATAAATATTCTTGGACATTTTACACTGCGCCGCTAGCCCCAAACTAAGCATAGCTAGTACTATGGGTACTAGACAACGGATATAAACATACCTAAATACTTTTTTTTTGTAAATTCATACATATTATACAATAGCGACACCCAGACCCGTCACAGAAATTAAAATTCATCATTTCAATTTCTGCCCGGACGGGAATTGAACCCGGGACCTCTCGGCACAGTAGTCCGTTCTGAACCACTACACCAAACGGCTGACAAATGCGTCATGTTACCAGACATGCGCTTTAGAATAAAATTGTGACATAATGCATGCGATGGCTGTAGGCCTTAGTATACGCGCTGCGATAAGTTTAGCGCGCCATTTTATCGATTTTACGCGATAAGCCCATACATTTGTCGTTTAAAACCATCGATTAGATTTTATCACGGCGCGCATCCTAGCCCAGCTAGGATACTTAAAATTACTTGAACAACTTTTTGAGATTTTACATTGCCCCATTACAATATCCCTAAATAAATTCCCTTATCATAATAGCATTAAGTTTTTCTGAGACCCTATTTGAGATATTGTTTACTCCTAAAATAACCTATTTATTTATATTTCTTTCCAGAGCGAAGTCCTAAAACTAATGCTGAGCGAAGATCCATCGCAGAGACCGACCGCTATGGGAGTAAAAGCGCGCGCGCCGCTTTATCAACGAACTGACGAACGATATCACTTCACGCTGCCTAATGCGCCCGCTTGACGGTACGTCAACAGTTTTTAATATCGACTTTATTGTCTAAATAATACGACTTACTTTCGCGAGATTGTTGTTCAGGCTATAAGATTTAGATTCTTGTGGTTTGCGACAGATAACAGAAATAACAAACATGTTATTACTAACGCGCCCGCTTGATAGTACGTCTGTTTTTAATATCGACTTTATTGTTTATGTAATACGACTTACTTTCGCGAGTTTGTTGTTCAGGCTATAAGGTTTAGATTCCTGTGGTTTGTGACAGATAACAGAAATAAAAAACTTGTTATTAGGAAGTTCTCGCTGCCTAACGCGCCCGCTTGATGGTACGTCAGTTTTTAATATTGACCTTATTGTTTACACAATACGACTTACTTTCGTGAGCTTATTGTTCAGGCTGTAAGGTTTAGATTCCTATGGTTTGTAAAGCCCGGTCCGTGAGCACGTAGCTCTCTCACACTCACTGCGGGCGCCCGTCGCACAGTCGCGACAGCAATATAATTACGCGCGGGCGATAAGGATGGGTAGCTTGGGGTCATTGGACAAAATTCTACGTGCTCACAGACCAGACTATAGCAGAAATAATAAACTTGTTAATTACATTCCTGTGGTTTGTGTAAGTTAAGAAGATTTGATAACTGGTTTATACATTCAACTTTATCGATCACACTGTAAGGTTTACATTCATTTGTTTTGTGACATGTAAAAGAAGTAAAAAACTTGTTATTTTGATCAACTTTATTGTTTACCCTATATGGTTTATATTCGTGTGATTTGTGACAGCTAACAAGCGATTTGTTTGACTTTTATGTGAGAAGTGTCCACTATAGTGACCAAAATCCAATTTTAATCAAAGCATGAGAGAATTTAACGTCAGAGAATCTATGGAGCAGATGTGTAACGGGAAACACCAATACTTGTAAATAAACTTAATGTTTGTCAAAGAATATGATAAATAATGATTTTTTAAATATTTATTGATGTAAATTCTTTGTAAGCATGACAAAAGTATACCAGTGAAGTGTACTAAATAATGTTTTCATTATTCTTTAACTATTGTATTATGATAAGTATTAGAACAATAAAATCATGGACCCTTTTTAGGCTTCCGTAGTCCTAAAAAGGAACCCTTAATCAACTAACATACATACATACTTTAGGAAAGTTAATCAATAAAAAAAATCTTTACCTTAGATTTTACACTTATTTATAAGTAAATGTTTTACCAAAACTGCCTAGGGTAAGCCTATGTATTTTTGCGCATTTTTTCTGTATATAAAATTCTGTTTTTAGATTATAAGTATACATATAGCATTTGTGTCAGGCTTGACCGTCTAGTGTTGTTGTTTTTCGATCAAGCTTGACCATGGTACTATCACATTTTTTTCTTAAGTATTTTGCTAGGAAAAATCTGAAAGATTTTTTATATCATCACTTTACTTATAAATTAGATGAATAAACTACACACATAGGGAAAACAGATTATACATATTAAATACCTACTTGACAATAGTTAAGTTAATCGTAAAACAATACACTACCGATTATAGATTTTTCTAGTCCGATCGGATATTCGATATAATGGCAATCGAATGGACTAGCATCGTATTCGAATACGAAACGATAAACAAATCGAATGCCATTATAAATAGTTCCGTCCGATATGCGTTTCAAGCCGATCATTCAAGTTCGAAATACACTTAGGACTAACTTACATCAGTTCGAACCTTTTATATAGCTAACGATTAAATATAAAAATATTAATACAGTTTTTAAAGCGCCATCTTTGTCGTTCTCACTCGCAGAGTAACATTGATGTCTCTTTACGAAAGCGCTTTGCTTATACATTTTGAAAGTACCGTTTGATTTAGAATCATTGTTAAATAATTATTGTTACAATATAGTGTATTTTTATAGACATTTACTAGTTTCGTTATTTACCAGTAAGCTATGTTAGTCATTAAATTTAGTCGCGAACTTTAATTATAATTTCTTTCGAATCATTAAACTAACTTTTCAAAGATAGATAACCACAAGCGCAAACACATTACTATCCTTTGCACGACGCAGACGGGTAAATGGCATATTCTGAGCCAATTTTTTCTCTTATAGATCGCATCTGCACTTTTGTGATAAGATTGATCAAGAGCTGGGTCAAACAATGAAAAAAAAACAGTTGAAAATTCTTTTTAATGATTCGAACTTGTTAATTTTTGATGACTCCGTGTGTTGTAAACATGACATATCGTTAAATGTAATTGTTCTTACTTTCATTCATTAATTTAATGACATAAGTTGAGGCTAAATAATGTGTGTTGCATTTTTATCATTACCTTGTGCATTGTTTGTAAAGTTCATCCATTTTGGTGTTTTTAAGAAGTTAATATTGCGTGTAGAATGAAAGTTATGATTCCAATGCCACTGTAAAAAAGGTGTAAAAATTGTTAAAATTTTAACATCACTATTTGTTTTGCTAGGCTACATTTTTATAGTGTTGCCACATTTAAAAAATGTAAAATGTTGTGCTGCTAACAGCATGAGGCCGCAACAAAAGATTCATGCTTTTGAATTAATGTTAACCTATTCTACATTTATATTGCTGATTTACTATTAATTAAGTAAAGCAAATAAACTAATGTAGTTCTTCTTTAAGTGGAAACGTAAGACTGGGTTATGGTATTGAATTTGACGTGTTGCTAGGTAGCTTTGTCGATAATTATAAAATTTTATCACATTATATTGATAAACTTATCTAATTTAGGTGCACTTGATGATGTTTTTGAGTCATGATGGATAACACTAACTTATACTTTATGTATGTTAGTGGTTATTTTTAGGTTGGTGATAATGATAATTCTAATTTTAACGATAATTTCTTAGGAATGAATAAAGTTGTTAAAATGTATCTGTTTGTTTTATTTAATATACAGTGTGAGTCACGTTAAAGTGTACATATGAAAATAGATGGAACTAGACCTATTTTTATCGACAAAAAAGAGGTCAAAAAATTTTTGAGATTTTTTTTTAATTTTTTATAGAATTTTTTTTCTTCCAATTACTTATTGTAAAGAAAACGTAATAACTTTTAAACTAAGCGGTATATCCTGATAAAATAAAAACAGTAATAATGCTAAATAACAGGCGATACTAAAAAACTACATAAAATACACAAATAAGGCCAACAAATAATAAAAAGTTATACTTTAGGAAAAAAATCTGCTTTTAAATTCGTGTTTTTTTGGTTATTTGATTAATTTCTCCAAAAAATGCCCCTATAACTGGTGGTTTTTATTACTTTTTATTATTCTCTATCGTATTACCTTCGTAAAACCAAAAATCGCATGTCTCTATCCCTATCACAACGTTTGCAATTATCGTTTGAACTAAGCCTCTCCGGGCGCGCCATTCAACGCTTCGTTAATAACGAAACTGAAAATGGGTCTAGATTTGTAATTTTGATAAAGACAAGTTAGATTTCAAATAAAAACAAAAGATTTCGAGGTAAAATAAGTNAAAAAAAATATTTGATTTGATACGACGCAGAAAAATTGTATTGTGTTACAGATAAAAAGCCGAGCTGCGAAGAAGTAAAAACAATTGACAGCTTTTTTTCCTTCTTTTCTTTTTTTTATAAAAAAATATCGAATCAGCCAGTATGCTGAGCATGGAGGTATTAAACAATAAGCATTTTAGTTAAAATTAAAATTGTCTCTACCTGTAGCGGAGAATAATGTTATGGCAGGCCTTTGTTCAAACGATCATAGCAAATGTTGTGATAGGGATAGAGACATGCGATTTTTGGTGAGAAATTAATCAAATAACCAAAAAAACACGAATTTAAAAGCAGATTTTTTTCAAAAAGTATAACTTTTTATTATTTGTTGGCCTTTTTTGTGTATTTATGTATTTTTTTAGTATTGCCTGTTATTTAGCATTATTACTGTTTTTATTTTATCAGGATATACCGCTTAGTTTAAAAGTTATTACGTTTTCTTTACAATAAGTAATTGGAAGAAAAAAAGTTCTATAAAAATTTAAAAAAAATCTCAAAAAAATTTTGACCTCTTTTTTGTCGATAAAAATAGGTCTAGTTTCATCTATTTTCATATGTACACTTTAACGTGACTCACACTGTATAAACCATCAGCATAATACTTTATTGTTAATCATAATAATAATACGAATTCTAAGGTTACTTTTATTACAATATCCAATTGTAATTATAAATTTGCTGATATTACATAACTTATTGTATAAAATTAAATAAATATCATCAGTCTGATGAGTAATCCATACTTCCGTACTAGCTCATACTAATATTATAAATGCGAAAGTAACTCTGTCTGTCTGTCTTGCTTTCACGCCTAAACCACTGAACCGGTTTTGATGAAATTTAGTCTTTTCCCGGTTGGTTGAGTCCCGAGAAAGGACATAGGATAGTTTATATCCCGGTTTTTGAAACAGGGACGCGCGTGATAAAGTTTTTCTGTGACAGACAAAATTTCACGCGGGCGAAGCCGTGGGCGGAAAGCTAGTACTGTATAAACATAAATCCTTTAAAAATATATTTATATAAATAAATAATAAATTATTACTTCCTAGCTACAGTAGTATAAGTATGTTAATTCAGAATCATCATTAGCATCAAGGCTGCAGAGTCATTTTAATTAAATACCTACCTACTTATTATCAACGTTTGTATACAACAACGCTATCACAATAGCAGTATATTATGTAATCTATTTATCTGCTAGATATACGCAAACTGACATAATAACCAGTCGTGGACACTGTACGTACACTTGTACAGTGTTTAGAGCCATGGAATTGTTACGCATAATTCTGTGTTTGTTCTGTGTATTTAGCTCTATAGAGGGCTACAAAGTTTTAGTGGCCTTTCCTTTGCCAGTCAGGAGTTTAAATCTGCTTGGTGAAGGTCTTGTAAGGCACCTGCTGAATGCTGGACATGAGGTAAGTGACATTTTGAAGGTATAATTCAATTTGGTGCTCCCCATAATATTAGTTCAAACTGAAATGCCAAATTATTATTCCTCTAGACTCTAGAGTAAGAGCTAAAACTCGATACATTTGGCTTGTAACAAAAAAATACGTTATCGTACTAAGCAAACCATAGCCACGGTGACCCAAACTTTATGATGTACCCACATTCTAACCTATATTGGGAGCATACGCTGACAAACTTTCAGCTTTTAGGCTGGTTTCACGCTGACGCACGCTGACCGTCAGCGCTGATAGCCGAAATGTATGGAGCGTCGGCGCCGAGCGATCAGCGTCACTCAGAAACGTTCCCTTCAATTACATACATTTTGATTTGACAGCGCCGACGATCAGCGAGCGGTCAGCGCGATTCTAAAACCAGCCCTATAAAATGACGTAGGTCTGGTGTTCACTATTGCATATTAAGTTAGAAGCAGGTTATTTGAGATTACTAATGTACCTACTATTTTTACTTCACCCTATTTAATTCGATTTTTCAGGTTACATACATAACAGCATACCCATTTAAAGACCCCCCTAAGAAGAATTTTAGGCAAATCGATCTTAGCAGTGTTAAGAGTGTTTTTGCAAGTAAGTAGGTTACCTAATTAAGGCACAAAAATACGTCCACCTTAATAAAGGTTCTATGTTCGAATTTGTTTTATTTAATACAATAAGCTTGAGTATCGTTATTCGTCATCATACATAGGTACAGTCAGCGTCAAATAGTTCGTGACCAAAAACCTGATAACACAACCTTATTAATCCGACGTGTAGAACTTTTTGGCTACTTTGGGTATCACGAATTATTTGACGCAGACTGTAGGCCTATACAATGATCTTGTTTTACTGGTGAAAGGTAATGTTAACTATGAATTTTCTTTTTTATTTTCAGACCAAAACAAACTGAACACCGGCTACATGATGAATAACAGACACACAAACGATATTTATTACGTGCAGGAGCTAGCCCTTAATTGCGCCAAAGCCACGTTCGCAGATCAAAACCTTCAGAAGCTGCTGCAAGACACCAGCGAATCCTTTGACGTGGTCATAGCTGATCTTTTGGAAACTGAGATATATGCGGGGTAATAACATAAAGTCGTAAAGGTAGCAGGAAGGCGCTAGTAGTAGGCCGCTACCAACTGGGTGATGTGGAAATCACTGGGGGAGGCCTATGTTCAGCAGTGGCCTTCCTGCTAGATGAAATAGTTTGCACTATAAAGGCAAAAATTGTCCAACGGTGACGGCACTGTTGGTATGGGATAACGGATTCAAGCTTCGAAGAACGCTAGTTTGATTCCTATTAACTTCATGCTCCTGGTAAAACATGTTGTATCACCTGTTAAAACTGTAAAACCAAATCATGTTGCTCTGTAATATGTTTTCACACATGTTTATGTAAATAAATATCTTTATCTTTACGACCACGACCGCTCTCCAAGAGCGACACGAATAAGAAGAAGAACTTTATGCTTCTTCTGGTCGAGGTCTTCGTGATCAGTCCACTGCTTTTATTTTATTTTATTTGTAGTATTGTAGCGTCAGCGTACACTGCATTTGTTTATTAGACAAAACACAGTAGGTCGCGCGTCACGACTGACGCACATCTTATTGAATGATCAAACGAACTTACCAAGTGAAGTTCGATCTAAATTATCCTGTTTTCGCCGAAGAGATTTATTTTACCATGTAGTACCCCTGTACGACAACCCAATCCGCACACAATATTCAGCGTAGTAGTAGTAAAAAACAAANGTAGCGTCAGCGTACACTGCATTTGTTTATTAGACAAAACACAGTAGGTCGCGCGTCACGACTGACGCACATCTTATTAGTATATAAGCAGTTAATAATTAATAAACTACGCTCTTGATTATCGCACACGCATCCAGCTGTTTCATTTGTCGTCTCCCTGCTCAGGAGCCAAAGTATACAAACAGTTTACAGTCTAGGCTTCACCGTAAAGAAAAAGTGTTAATTACATACTGGACCGTAAGCCAAAATTAGTATACATAAGGGTCACAAACTGAACCCGAATCTCCAGATTCTCGAACAGAATTAAAATATAGCGATAATCGGGTTTATAGTATAGGTCGATTAGAGTGACAAATTCGGGACCAAATGTACAACCCTATAGGGCTAACTGCGCACCTCGCTAGGATGCGACTCCCTCGCACTCAAAGCTCACACACCTCCCCGCGTTCGCCCCATCCGTACCAGTTAGGCGATGTGACGTCACGGCTGCCAGGCTGCCAGTTAACTCGACCGAGTTGTAATGTCTGTTTTTGCAGAAGAAATTAAAGAGATGGATTCAAGACGAACTAGGATAGACCACGTCAATTAACCGCCGCGCCGTAAATTTTTAAATGATCCAACAATTCCAGGCTATCTGCTGTCTACGACTGCCCCATGGTGTGGCTCTACTCTATGGGGGCTCACTCCGTGGCCCTCCGCTTAGTCGACCAGCCTGCCAACCCGGCTTATGCGTCAGATTACTTAACAGGACATATCCCACCGCTGACCTTCGTCCAAAGGGTGGAGCAACTATGGGCACATGTTCAGTGGTACTTCTTGAAGTGGTGAGTATTTACTGTGCTGTGTGGTCCCGACACAGTAAGATAGGACCACCCCTTGCTCTTTCCGTGAATGTAATAAAAGGCAAGTAAGGGAGAAATGGGCGGATATCATGCTTCCCCAACACGCCTGACCAGCGTAGGGGGAGTGTTGGCCAAATCCTCAATTTGCCTGGTAAATTGAGATTATCGCCCATCTGTAGTAGAGACTATGTAAACTGATGATAATAATTATGACATTAGGCTCTTGGAAAGAAGGTCCTCAAGATAAGCTTACCTTGCCTTAATATTTTTTATTATTTATTTTTTTTATTTATTAATTATATCGATTACCACAAGCTTGAACCGCTCACTCGGGTGTTAGGCTCTTTACGTTCACTTCACGCTCTCTTTTTTCTTAGGTTCTTCATACAGCCAGAAGAAACGGTCCTATACCAGCGCACCTTCGAGCCTCTCCTAGCCAAACGCGGAAGGCCTCTTCCCGACTACCAGGAGCTGATATACAACGCGTCCCTAATGTTCAGTAACGAACACAACGCACTGGGGAACGTGCCAGCCATACCGCAGAACTTTAGGTTTGTCGGTGGATTCCATATTGAAGATCCACCGAAGGCTTTGCCTCAGGTAGGTCATATAACCGGTTCATACTTAATTCTAATTTACTAGAAAGTGTAGGACGTAGGTGTACCTAATTGTCATATAAGCCACGATAGCCGAACGGTGAAGGGGTCGGGCTGGCCGACTCACCGCTCGGCGGCTTAGTACGAGGGGCTTTAACGAGACTAACATAATCTTAAAAAAAAGTAGTTACTTAATCACGAATTTTAATTCCACAGTTCCTGATTTGATACTAATGTCATATTATTACGGCTTCTCTTTGCTTGAAAATTGCTAACACGAATTTTGAATCTCGATAAAATTTTGCCAGTAGCACATCACTCTTAGCCTAGGCGCAGACCACCAACTTTTAGTTGGCCGATATTTGGGTCGGGCTGTTAATCAGTATGGAGATATATGAAAGTGTGCACATTACACCGATTTGGTATCGGCCGATTCTTCATACAAATATCATTAAAATCGGGTCCACAAATATCGGCCAACTAAGCCTAGGCGCAGACCATCGATTTTTCGTCGGCCGATAGTTTAGTCGGACAGTTGATCAGTATGGGCATGTATGGAAGTGCGCACATTACACCGATCGATTTGGCCGATTTTTCATACAATTTAAAATCGGGCACAACTATCGGCCAACTAAAAATCGGTGGTCTGCGCCTAGGCTAAAGGTAATTTCCTTCAGGATCTCCAAGCAATAATGGACTTGTCCAAGCACGGCGTGATATACTTCAGCATGGGTTCCACGTGGCAGAGCAAGGATATCCCGGAATCCGTGACGAGGGGTCTCCTAAACATGTTCGGGGAGTTGAAAGAAACGGTGCTGTGGAAATATGAAGAGAACCTGCCGAATTTACCACCTAACGTGAAAATTGTGCAGTGGGCACCGCAGCATAGCATTTTAGGTAAAACATCGAGGGTTTAGTAAGAAAACATTGCCGAAAGTTGAGCAAATTTTATCATAGGCACTTATATTAAAATCATTGTAACTACCTCTTTGATCTAAGTATTAAGATTATGATTATTCTATTGATAATTCTGTACTACTATAGATGTGCCTAATAGCAAGCCTCGTTTTCACATGCTACGCGAATTTATGGACATAAAAGCGCTTACACTAAGATTTTAAAAAATCTCATGTCATTAAAATTCAGTCAGCACATCCTATAAATGTAACGTTGAAATATAGCACCTAATACAACAAGATACAATGGCACTATGTTCAGCTCATTAAGTAGTCCCTAATACTAAAATACCTTCTTAATTTTCTTTTCTAGCGCACCCAAACCTCCGCATGTTCATATCCCACGGAGGGCTGCTATCCTCTACAGAAGCGCTACACTTCGGGGTCCCCACAATCGGCATACCGGTCATGTTCGACCAGTACATCAACGTGAACAAAGCCGTGAGCAGCGGCTATGCGTTGTCAGCTGAGCTTAGTGACGACCTGCCGAATACTTTGAGGCCGTTGATTAGAGAGATGCTGGATAATCCCATGTGAGTTGGAAATGATTATGAAAGTTTTTGAGGAGGAGATGTTTGTTCGCTTTTACGTACCTACTACTGAATGGATTTGGATTAGAAATAGTTTAAGATCCAGAGATAAAAGTTGTAAGTACGTACAAATTCTGAACATCATTTTGAATTTCCAGATACCGGCAGAAAGCAAAGCAATCATCTATGATCTACCACGACAGGCCCGTAACAGCTGGTAAAGAGTTGGTCCACTGGACAGAACATGTTATCAAGACTAAAGGAGCACCTCATCTTCGCTCGCCGGCGCTTCGCATACCGGTGTACCAGAAGCTTTATTTAGATTTGTTGCTTGTTGTTGTAGTTTTGCTATTTATTTGTAAGAAGGCGCTCAGTTTGGTGTTTAAGAAGAAGGTAAATCAGAAGCAAAAGAAGAATTAATGTTATATTGGTAGGTAAGTTTTGATTGTGGGTAGGTATTTTAACTACAGTGTGTGTAGTAGTAGTAGTAAACTGCAATCAAAATGTCGGTTAGGTATTTATGTTAATTTTTAAGTTGAAATCTGATGGTGATCGTTAAAATATACGTAATTTATGTATAACATGCATTAATACTTGACATTTAGTTAGTATCTATAATGAGCTAACGTTAGAACGTAGATATAACTAAGTCATCTAGTATAGTTCATCCACGAAGACGCGCCCCACCATTCTTCCGCGAATGTTTGAGTGTTATCGGTAAACGCTAAATATGAGTGCACACGCACACTAAAGCCTGGTCCGTGAGCACGTAGAATCCCGTCCAATGACCCCAAGCTACCCATCCCTATCGCTCGCGCGTAATTATGTTGCTGTCGCGACTGTGCGACGGGCGCCCGCAGTGAGTACAATAATGACGCTCGGATTGCTCGGATCAAGCTCCCCGCACCCCGCGCTTGCCTCGACCAAAAATTGGTGGTGCGTGCGTGTCTTCGTGGATGAAACGATCTATAGTAAGCTTCGGTGCTACGAATCGCTACGGCGTAGCATACAAGTTTTAAATATATCTTAATGGTGGCCATACACGTTAGGGTTTGCATGATGGTTTTGACCGTACATGCTTAACCGACATGCAAACCCAAGCGTGTATGTTACAAAACTGTACAGTTATTGGTGCGTGTACATGCAACCTAACGAATATCAAAAAAGAGATTTTTGCCGCTCGGTTATGTTTGCGCACATGCATAACCGAGCGTGTGTGCGACCGCTCATGCTTGCATGCACAGTTTTCTCTCAGTCTCCTATAGTCTGTGGCAGTGAATGGTGGTGAATATTTAAGACACTCATGTGTTCTTCCTGTTGCAAGAAATCTTAATGTTACTGCTAGGTTTGGGCTGTGCGTTGATAGATCACTATGTCAGTCAGTCAGTCACCTTTGAGTTAAATAAATTTAGATTGTACATGCAAACCCTAACGTGTACTATGTGCTTAATTTTAAGCTGCTTAGTTTTTTCCCCTGAATACCCCGCACCCCGTGCTTCCCTCGACCAATAAAATTGGTGGGGCGCGTCTTCGTGGATGAAACGATCTATAAATATGTCGATGGTGGAAGTATCAATTAATGTAAGGGACATTTTGGCCAAAATGAGTTATATGTTTCGGTGCTACGAATCGCTACGGCGCAGCATAAAAGTTTTAACTACCTACATAGCTTTTTTTTCCATGAATACATAAATATTGTTAGCACAGATATAAAGTAGGTGACTCAGAATAATCTGACCTAGGAATCTGGTTCCTAATTAAAAAAAAAACAAATTTTAGACTGTTTAATTCTTCTTAACTTTCTTCGTCACCGCACTTTTACAAAGCAGTCTTTTTGCAATTCTAAACAGTACAATAGTTGCGACAGCTATCAAAGTTATCAGATCCAGGTATATCTTCTGGTAGAAGGGCACGTTCAGTGCTGGAGACCGAAGGTGCAAGGCACCTCTTGTCTTGATGACGTGGTCCACCCAGTGCAGGATCTCTTGTCCAGGAGTAACAGTGCGGTGGTGATAGATAAATGACAGTTCCTTCATCCGCTCATGGTATCTGTAAAAAATATGAATCCATGACGCATATCCAAAGGATAATAATTAATATTTTTAACCACAAAGGGAAAGCTCTAATACTAATAAACCTTTGGACAATTTCACACAGCGCCAGCTAGCCCCAAAGTAAGCAACTTAATGCTTGTGTTATGGGTGCTAGCTTAACGGATATACTACTTATATACTTTTTTTTAAATACATAAATATTATACATAGTCACACCCAGACCCGTCACAGAAATTAAAATTCATCATTTCAATTTCTGCCCGGCCGGGAATCAAACCCGGGACCTCTCGGCGTAGTAGCTTATTCTGTGGTAGTAGTCCGTTCTGCTGAACTACACCAAACGGCCGACGACGGCGGCAGCTCTAGGGCTGCTTCAGATTAAAAGTGATGATTAGACCGAATGTGGAAGCAAAGTAGTTTAGATTCCTCAAGTACAAATGTGGCTATCTCACATTCAACTGCCGAAACACAACAATACTTATATCATTGTTGTTATGGCCACACTTACGCCCGTATTCACAAACGATGCTTGTAAAATGAAGCAGGCAATCGAAGCGTTGCCGCGTTGAATAGAGCTCTGTGATTGGTTCATAGTCACCCTGTGCGTCCACGCGCACTGTGAGACCTCATAGTAATGTTTGTGAATACGGGCGTTAGTCACTTGGATAAGGTAATATTATCTAACCAGGAGGACTTACAAAAAGTCCACTATAAACTCCCGATCCGAAACCGCGATCTAGATCTGAGAGCACAGTAGATGTGGTTTAACATCATGATATGGTTACAAGCACGTAGGGAACGTAATAGCAGTAGCAAAAGTATTGCGTCAACCACGCGAAACCCGACCCGTCAACCACAATATTCTTGGTTATTGGTCGTGTGATGATTTTAAATTATTGTTACATGATATCTCTATAAAAATAAAAATAAATTGATGTTCGTTAGTCTGATTAAAACTCGAGAACCGCGCTGGGCCGATTGAGCTGATTTTGGTTTTAAAATGTTTGTCGTAGTCCAGGGTAGGTCTTAACGGTGAGCAAATACGCGCGCGATATAGTTTTTCTATGACAGACAAAATTCCACGCGGGCGAAGCCGCGGGCTGAAAGCTAGTTGGTAATAGAATCCCAACTAATATTATAAATGCGAAAGTAACTCTGTCTGTCTGTCTGTCTGTTACGCTTTCCCGCTTAAACCTCGCAACCGATTTTGATGAAATTTGGCATAGAGATAGTTTGAGTCCCGGGAAAGAACATAGGATAGTTTTTATCCCGGTTTTTGAAACAGGGACGCGCGCGATAAAGTTTTTCTGTGACAGACAAAATTCCACGCGGGCGAAGCCGCGGGCGGAAAGCTAGTAATCCTCATAAAATATTTAGTTACTCGATTTGCCTACCTCGGGTTTCCCAAAATCTCTTCAATCGCTGCTTTCAAGTGAACTGTCATGTCTTCTACGATGTCGACCTTTAGGGCGAAGCCTTTCTTCATGGCGCGATCCACATTGATGAACTGGTCCGCGAACATTGGGATCCCAATGATGGGCACGCCGTAGTGGAGAGCCTCGGAAGTTGAAAGCAGGCCCCCGTGGGAGATGAATAGGAGGCAGTTGGGATGAGCTGAAGACGACCAAAGAGGTTAATATTATTGGGAAACTGAACAATTCTAGTGGTCTAAAAGGATAGACCACTTTTCGAAAATATCTGTCATCATTTCATTCATTTCATATTATTATTATGTCGTCTCGAGGTTGCTATCAAGTTTAGGAAAAAAGCAAATGATATCTATCTAGTGAAAATATTTGTAAGCATGAACTTCTGTTCACGACACTGTTTCTGCTAGGGGCGCCACTAGTCGATACTTATCGGACTTTTATTTAACTTTAGTTAGTAACTTTTTACCGTGACTTCGGTGATGTTGACTAAATATGATGATGATGAGTCTAAATCCACTTTATTACTGGGTGATTTATTTGTGGGTACTTTAAATTAGCTATCGTATTATTTGTGTCCTCTTCTTTTTTTACTCAAAAGTATGTATTGAGTACAGAATACTTAATATTATAGAATCCAACCATAGAGTTATTGGTAATTTGTGTTTTAAAGATGTTCACAATAAACTTTCGCTTTTATAATCATTAGTAGGGCTAGCTAGTCACTAGTAGCATGACATAGGTTTGACATAGCCACCTCCCAGCACCATCTTTAAACCAGCTTATATCATCATCATTATTATTACATTGTACTTAACATTTCCCCATAAAAATCCAGGATAGTGGAACTAAGTCAAAATTCATAAGTGACCCCCGTCTTACTTGGCCTTGGATTCGAGTCTCTGATAGAGAAACTGATAAATCTGAGCTGATAGTCCGAAATAAAATATAACTTCGTCCTTTGGATGATGTCAAATTAATTCAGCTGTTAAATACCTACCTAAAATACTTTGCTGAGGAGCCCATTTAAGGATGTGCAGGTTTTTGGGCAGATTGGGCAATACTTCCTCGAACTTCCAGATGACAGTTTGCTTGAGACTGCCGAACATTTTCAGGAACCCTTGCTTTATTCCATCAGGCATGGAGCTGCTCCTGATCATGGATCCCATGCTGAAGTATATGACGCCGTGTTGCGCGTTATCCATTATCTTTTGAATATCCTGCATTTATGAAAAAAGAAGTTGATGAACTGCAAAATTGGCCAGATGCTTCGAAGGGCTTATAGGGATTAGGTTTCGAATAAAGCTAACAATGTCACAAATTAATTATACGTTTAAACCCTTTTGAGATACTCGAGTAATTAACGTTCCAGTTGGCAGTGTTGCCACTTGCCACACGTCAATTTCAACGTAATATTAACTTTGTTCAAAGAAGGCACACAATCACATTGGTCAACCTCACCTACTCTTTTTACTCATTCATTACTACCTAACATAATTACTTTTTCTCTTCTTACCGTTGGCAATGGTTTGACCTCTTCATCAATATGATATCCAGCTATCGGGATATAATTCTGCGGCAACCTCACTGGTCTACCAGACGAGAAGTGCGAGTTCCCGAACATCAGGGAAGCGTTATGGCTGACTTCATACAGTGAGGGAATTGTTCGACCTCTTTTAGCTACAGCTGGACCATACCCCTCTTGGAAAATACGGTTTTCATGGTCGTATATTGCCCTGAAAACGAATAACGGTTACCAATAATAATTGGTGGATTAATACGGATATTTTGGACTCCTGAAGGTTTTTTAAACTTCCAATTCAGGGCGATGGAGCGGAGTTTCCTTGCGTGATCGAATCAAATGAGGAGATCTGCATGAAAACCAAATTAAGCTTTAAGCTTTTAAAGGAAAATGGTGAGTAGTTTTATGTCCCAAATTATGTAGGTATTTTTATTCTAGAAAAGAACATAGGGTTGTAACCTAAGTAACTACAGAATTGATGAAAAAACATACCATTTCATGTACTTCAAGTAGATCACTTCCCACAGTTCTTCGAGCCGCTGTGAGAATGTGAAGGGCGCCTCAGAGGACGACATGTGGTTGGCTGTGTAGGCCGGGTTAGCTTCCTCATCGATCAGCCTTAAGACTAGCCCGTGGGGGTCGATGGAGGAAGACCATATGAATGGGCAGTTGAAGACGGCTGCGAATCTGGAAATGGTATGTGGAATTCATCATCACCGGTTCATTATTCGATTGTAGGAACACACGACCCTCCAGTATACCAGAGGCATATAGAGATGGAGGATTTGGCCTAAACTCGATCTCCGCATTGATCAGACGAGTTATAGTAATAGGTATTACAAGCTCATCCATTCGACCCTGTAATATTACTATGCTTGGTGAAGCATAGTAATATTACAGGGTCGAATGGATGCGCCTGGTCTGAACCTAAGAGGCCACACAGTTCACCCCCTTTTATGGATGGAAGTTTGCTAGCTCCTCAGGTAGAAGCTGTATCGTAAATAATGATTCGATTAGACCAGGGACCAGACGGGGCCACTCGGGCAAATTATAATTTAAAAGCGGGCCCTAGAAAATAAAACAACTGAATAAAGGTTCTGGGTTATAAGGTCGCTGGCGGGCCGCGCCTAATGTTCAGGAGGCCGCGGTTTGTGCATCCATGGTTCGATTAGACCAGAGTAAATACAAATGAGTAGGTCATCTTCATAGAAACGCACGGGCGCGGTTTGTATGTGAGCGCGCCAACACGTAATATGCGGCGCGCACGCACACACTGACAAAATTTAGCGGGGATTAGCGGGGAGCTAGTCGTGGTTAGAGATGGGTAGTGGGTAAAAACCCATTTCACCCGATTGGGTTAAAACTGGGTGATTTGGGTAAAAACCCGGTTTTTACCCATTACCACCCATTCTGGTGGGTGAAAACAAAAATAGCGTTTTTTTTAAAGTGAGAAGTGGTATTTGTTGCTAAGGGGGCGTTCTAATGTTACGTAATGCAATCTGGGGGGAGAGGAGGTCTTGAAAAACGTTACAATGCGTTACAGTGGCGGAAGGGCGGTTCGATTTCAAGTTTTTAAGCAGAAGTACTTTGTAGTTGGTGTTGTTATTTGTAACTTTATACCGTAATGTCATCAAAGAGAGAGTTTGGCATCTTTGGCATCCCCCCCCCTCCATGTCCTTGCCATGATCACAAATTATTGTGTTCCTACTAAATTTCTTCTAAAACGGTTCAACGATTCTTGAAATAACACCATTTTATAAAATAATTGGTCACATCATCATAACGTGATCAATTTTACGATTTGGCCACGATATAAATGCATATTAGTGTTAAATTTGACTTATTACTTATTAATCAATAAACTTAAATGAGAAAAATTCAATAAAAATAAAGAAAAGATACCAATTGAAATAATTATAAAATTATTTGTTTTCACCCGGTGTAAACACCCACGGGTGGAATGAAACGGGTTTTTATTGGGTTTTTACCCTCATGTGGGTTTTTACCCGGGTGGAAACCCATCTCTAGTCGTGGTTGCGCCGAATTTTGTCAGTGTGTTCGTGCGCGCCGCATACGTATATTTGCGCGCTCATATACAAACCGCACTCGGTGCGTTTCTATGAAGATGACCAACTCATTTGTATTTACTCTGATTAGACCCTTACCCACAATAAAGTTCCGTATACAGCCACTCTGCGATCACCAGGTCAAACTCCTCATTGACATCATACATCAACTTCTGCACATTCTGGTGCCATATCGTCTGGTTGGCGATGTTGTTTATGACGCCCACCCATGCTCTTGTGTCCTTTAGGTCTGCTTCTTTGTTTAACACCGTTTTGAAACTTAGTGAGCTTGCTAAAATCACATTATTGAATTTTAATTTGTATGTTTTTATAAAAGTCTCGCTATGAGCAAGATGTATGGATACTTAGAACTGAAAATACGGGCGTCAGTTGGGTAACCCAATAACTATGGTATTAATTTAACTCACACATTGATTCAAATGTTTTGATATTGCTTGACACATCAATTTGTCGAAGCCCTTTAGGCGGATTCTTTATCGGTATCGGAGTTATGTATGTGACCTGAGGAAGAAAAATCAAGAATTTGAATAAAATATGGTCAAGTTTAAACTTTTATTCGAATTCATACCTATATCACACAAAATAGACACGTACAAGAAATGCCAAATAGAAATAGCTTTTTAGGTGGTCTTATAACTTGCAAGTAATTTCTTATTACATATTAGAGAGAGAGATAAAAGTTTTCTTTTACCAATGTCATCACTAAATTATCTAATTAAATGTAAGAATTAAGTACCCGAGTGGTTCCATAATCACTGATAGTTAATTTCCGTCTCTACATCTTAAGTAGTTAATAGACCTACTATGTATTATGGAAGCAATAAACATATTGAGTATTGAGTATTGAGTATTGAGCACTACTGATTAATCAATATTAAGCGGTAGGTACATCGTGACCATTAAAGTATGTAACTAACTACACCAATTCAAACGAAGATCTCAATTTGTATCGCGATAGCTTCGAATTAAGCAAATAATATGTATTAAAAAAATTTGCGGCATAAACGGCTGTATCTTTTGATTGCGTTGGCTTAGAAGTTTGATTTTTTCACAGCTTCAAGGGACAGTAGACCTGAGTAATTGATATAAATTTCAGCTTCATACCTCCACGCGTTCCTGAGAAAAAGGGACTTGACAGACGGACGGACGGACAACAAAGTGATCCTATAAGGGTTCCGTTTTTTCCTTTTGAGGTACGGAACCCTAAAAATGATCTGTAACGTACTCGTAATTTCAGAAATAGTTTAAAATAATTAACTATTAGTAAATTATGCATTTTTATTCTAGAACCTACTGAAAATCATATTACAATTTAACCATTTAAGTATGATTAATTTACCTCATGTCCAGCCCTCACGAGATGTTTCACAAATCCCTCACCCAGGATCGTATGGCTTTTCCCTGGGTACGGAAACACCACTAGTATTTTGTACGCACTTGAAAACCCTAACAATAGAAGGAACAATAGTTTTGTAAGATCCATTTTAAAACTAATAAACTACATGGATCTTCGACCGGGATCTAATTGATCTAAAAAGTGCGTGATCACTTCAAAGACGCTTGGCTAACTGACTGGGCTGATTGTGAATGTGATAACCTCTTGTGTACAGAGGAGGTTTGGGTAACACAAACACAGTACGTATGTTGGTATTTAATTTATCTTAAATTATTTTGAATGTTTATAAAGTGACAAGGCATAATGCCTAGTCATTGTGTTTCTTTGTTTTAGATAGTGTATTTCGGCGCGAACTTATTGTATTGTAATAGGTATTAAGATGGCTGTAGGTACGGTAATTCTGAGGTAATATCCCATAGTTTTTACTGATAAAATTATTTGATCTGTGGTCTACTGAAAGACTGAAAAGACAAAAATTGACATGAATGAGATGTTGACCTTTTGAATGCTACGAGCTACGGTGCTACAAATCGCTATTAGCAAAGGTGTAAATTAAATATACACGATTTAACATTTTTATTTTGCATCGCTTTTTTTCTAACTACGCTAAATTGCTAGAGGTTTAAAATACAAACTAAGAATAATCTCGCCTAGAAACATAGCTGGGCATTAACTCGTTAATCCGTTAATCGTTAATTAACGAAGTTAACATTTCTATTAACGGATTAACTTTTAAGTTAACTTTAAAAAATGTTAACGGACTCGTTAACTTCCGTTAAATTATCCTAAGTCCGTTAATCGTTAATCCAGTACCTACTCTTTACCAAAAAGATACAGCAGGCACGCTGAAAAACGCTAGAAAAACGCGTTCTGACAAGTACGTTCGGACTTCCAGAACTTGCAGAACGCAAAACAACAGTTTTTGTAACCAGAACGAAACGATATAAAATATGCTATTTTTTATTTATTTATAAGCTTTATATTGACTTCACTTGTTAGTATACATATGTGGGACAAATCTTGCAACTGAATTTAAGACCAGTTCGCCTCAACCGATTGAGCTGAAATTTGGGATACTTGTGTAAGTACGATGAAAATGCAATGTTATGGTACCATTAAGCTGGTCTGATGATGGAGTCAGTAGGTGGCCATAGGAACTCCTAAATGGTGGAAAGTTATCGAGTTTGGGTTTTGATGGATTTGTCTTTTCGAGCACTTTGGTGCTAAATTGTATTGTAATTGAACAAAGGCTCTGAGATTGAAATATTATAGACTAAGAGCTGGTGAACGTAGGTCTGGCGTTCACTAGCTCTTAGTTTACTACTAAAAAGTGTAATAAAATAAAATTATAATAATAAAAAACTTTTTTAAAAACAAGATTTTATTTTGAAATGCAGTTGTTACCAAAACCAGGCCTGTTCATCTCCGCGAGTTTACATCGAAAACAAAACACGCACGATGGCCCACCTACAGGATACTATTCGACAAGGCCTCACATACGAGCGAACATTGACTCACGCACGCGTATTCTTGTGTATGATGGAAGAAAATAAAGAAAATGGTGTACTAAATACTGTTACTGTGCAGTATTTAACTACCTAAATAATAATAAAACAGAACAGAATGCACTTTTTTAAGTTGCCTTAAGACACTGAGAGGTAAATAAGTAGTTAATATTATTCATGATACATTCACGTTAAATCATGTATTTCCTCCGCCATTTTCCGCAGTTTGGCACCTCACGTCACATCATTTTACCGAAGTCAGCCCTATAGCTTCGGCGCAGTGCCGATCACTGACGTTTGTTAACAAAATGGTGCTTGACTCTTGAGACAGGCTAAATTACACCATATTGTTAATGACATTGAGCATACATTTTTTTAAATACCTTCGCGAAGTAAAACTTCTGTACGTAGTACTTATTATTATTCTGTGCCAAAACGAAAAAAATAATTGTATGCAAGGTTCAAATAATTTCGACAGCTTGTAGCGCAAACATAAAAAAGGAATAAATTCCATGCGCGATACAAGCTTTCGAAATTATTATTTTTTTCGTTTTATTATAATGTATTAACGGATTAACGATTAACGTTAACTTGCGTTAAATCTTGCTAAATGTAACGTTTTAACGTTTAACGAAGTTAATTTTTTTATTAACGGTTTAACGATTAACGAAGTTAACTATTTGATTAACGGTGCCCAGCTATGCCTAGAAATCATATTAGACTTCTAAAAATGAAAAAGAAAATACTCATTATAGTTTAATTCTTTTTAACTTTCTTAGTCATTACACTTTTAGAAATCAGTCTTTTCACTATTAAATACAGTAGGGTAGTTGCTACAATTATTAAAGCTAGCAGATCAAGGTATATCTTCTGATAGAAAGGCACGCCCAGCGCTGGGGAACGAAGGTGTAAGGCACCTCTTGTCTTGACGACGTGGTCCACCCAGTGCAGAATCTCCTGTCCAGGCTTCGCAGTGCGATGGTAGTAGATGAACGACAGTTCCTTCATCCGTTCACGGTATCTGTCAACAAAATAATAAATAAAAATATGGAAGAACCGAAAAAAAAACATTCTATGACGCATGTCATTATCTGTTCACTAGCGGCCGCCCGCGACTTCGTACGCGTGGACCCCGTTTTACCCCCTTAGCGGTGGAGTTTCGTAAAATCCGTTCTTAACTGTGTTCTTAGTGAGCACCTACGATCTAAAAGGAACCCCCATGCAAAATCTGAGACTCCTAGCACTTGTAGTTTCTGAGATTTTGTGATGAGTGAGTGAGTCAGTCAGTCAGTCATTCAGTGACCTTTCGCTTTTATATACGAGTAAGATATATTATTATGTTCATAAAGGCAATTGCAATGAATAGGTACTTTTAAAACTATCCCGACTCTTCAATAAAATTTAAACTTACTTAGGGTTCCCCAAAATCTCCTCAATAGCAGCTTTCAAGTGGTCGGTCATATCTTCTGCGATATTGACCCTTAGAGCAAAGCCTTTCTTTATGGCGCGGTCTACATTCATAAACTGGTCTGCAAACATAGGTATCCCAATGATGGGCACGCCGTAGTGGAGGGCCTCGGAGGTCGAGAGCAGGCCGCCGTGGGAGATGAATAGTTTGCAGTTTGGGTGAGCTGGAATACATCAAAATAAAATTGTTATCTGTGAAACTAAAACGCTTTTGTTAGCTAACTTTATACAACGTGCTCCTTTTGTTTTCCGGAAATTTTAGGGGTAACTTATATTCTATAAATAAAAACTAGTTAAAGAGTCTTAGGAATATGTGTTTCTAAAAGCATATTTTTGAAGATATTGTGGATTCTAGATTTAGAAGATACCTAGTTGATTTAGATTGTTAGCATCAATCTATTTTTTTTCTTTTTCAAAATTGACACCTAGTCTTGGTGTGCAAACTTTTTATTGATAAGTATGTGTAAATTATGAATTATTTCAGTGAAAAATAAAGTTTTTAAATAATTTCGTATGAAAAAATAAGTCGAAAAATTTTTTTGAATTTAACAAAAAATGTAATGCCATTCCATTCTTTGAAGTGGTCTTATTAATACCCTAGAGTTCCAGGAAATCAAAAAGAGCACGTTGTATTCATGCAGCCATGTTCAAACTCTTGCAGAATGCGTTAAAAAGTGTAAACATCCACATATTTACGCGGTTACTTTATTGTGAACGAACGGTAACCAGTACCACTAGTAGGTACGAAAAACTTTCCGAGTTCAAGACGAGGACGGATTTTTTTACGTTTCGAGCTCGAACTCGAAACGTTCATTTTTGTTTTACTAAGCATTTTTAACTTTCTAACTTCTTTCGTCGGCACGCAAGGCCAAGGAACTTGGCAAGCTTGTGACTAATAAAATAGTAAGCATTCAATAGGTAAAAACATTGGCCATAAGGTCTCAAAGCAATACAATCAACCATTGCCTTGCATATTAATAAACGTAAATCCTACTTCCTACTATCCTACTTAATATTATAAATGCGAAAGTTTGGATGTCTGGATGTTTGTTACTCTTTCACGCAAAAACTACTGAATGGATTTTGATGAAACTTTACAGCGTTATTGTTTATAACCCAGAATAACATATAGGCTATAATTTATGACGATCTGTGAGAAACTAAATTTCACGCGGGTGAAGCCGCGGGCAAAAGCTAGTACCTAATATGCCTTGCTGTGGAGCCCATTTCAGTATGTGCACATTCTTAGGTAGATTAGGCAGTACTTCCTCGAACTTCCAGATGACAGTTTGCTTGAGGCTGCCGAACATTTTCAGGAACCCTTGCTTTATTCCATCAGGCATGGAGCTGCTCTTGATCATGGATCCCATGCTGAAGTATATGACGCCATGTTGCGCGCTATCCATTATGTCTTGTATATCCTGTATTTATAAAAAATTTTAATACATTCTCGAGTTTAAATAGCGGTTGGGCAACGTTTCATTATGCCTGCCTTTTAAGGTTTTACAATGTATTTGTTTAAGTGTTTACACTGGAGTTTTTAAGGCGCACATTATGCAGCATTGTTCTGTAACTACGGTCCTCAAGGTCCCAAATTATACTTTGGACCGTTTTTTGTACAAAGCGATTTGACGTTATTGGTAAAAAAATACTCGTAGACGCATTACCTATGGTAGTGTACTATCCCAGTGTAGGTTAATAACTATAAAACGTTTTACCCCTTACCTTTGGCAATGGTTTGACCTCGTCATCGATATGATATCCAGCTATCGGGATATAGTTTTGCGGCAGCCTCACAGGTCTACCAGAAGAGAAGTGCGAATTCCCAAACATTAGGGAAGCGTTATGGCTGACTTCGTAGAGCGAGGGAAGCTTTCGACCTCTTTTAGTTACCGCTGGGCCATACCCTTCTCGGAAGATTTGGTTTTCGTGATCGTTTAAATAGGCCCTGTAAATGAAAAAATTCAATCTAATTAGGTGGATTTTGGCAAAACGATTTAACCCTTTCACGCATATGGGACACATTTGTCCCCGCATAGTTTTTACGATTTACAGTAATACTAGTTAAGTTAAACCCTTTGTAGTTTAATATTCTTAAATTTTATTATTATCTTTTATGATTATGCGCTGTAAATAATGAAAAACGCGCTTCCTTGTGTAAAAAAATACTGGCAGAAAATGTGAAAAAAAAATTCGTTAGACGTCAAAATTAAAAAA